TAATCTAATTGTTGAATTTAATTGAGTGCCCACAAAAGCCCACTCTACTAATCTAATTGTTGAATTTAATTGAGTACCCACTAAAGCCATAACAAAGACACCGTAGATCCCCTTAGAACTGGATCAATCCAAGAGAACACGTCAGCTCTTGAACCAGAAACCTGCCTCTTCAAACGAGGCTCTTGCCCAACCGCGTGAAATTATTTGTAGTGTATGGTACATTTATTTTAATCCTAATTTGATCGCTGGAAATTAAACGAACAGAGTGGCAGAGTGATTTAAGTTTACGGGGGGGGGGGGGGGGGGGGGGGGGGTTGTGATCAATACAAGTTGGCACAAGTGATCTAAAAACCTGTTAAACGTAATGTAACTTGCGCCAGTTAAGCGTGAATGTTTTAGTACTTTTTACTAAGCCACCGGCGCGCGCAGTCGACTTCCTCCAAGCGGGGCGGTTGTCATTGGTTACCGGGCGATCGTCGCGACGCTCGTGGGCTAATAGTCGCTGGGTGTTTGGTAGGGTAGGGTGGCTACAGGTAGCTGGTTCTGTGGCTACAGGTGGCTGGTTGTGTGGCTACAGGTGGCTGGTTCTGTGGCTACAGGTGGCTGGTTCTGTGGCTACAGGTGGCTGGTTCTGTGGCTACAGGTAGCTGGTTCTGTGGCTAAAGGTGGCTGGTTCTGTGGCTACAGGTAGCTGGTTCTGTGTCTACAGGTGGCTGGTTCTGTGGCTACAGGTAGCTCGTTCTGTGGCTACAGGTAGCTGGTTCTGTGGCTACAGGTGGCTAGTTCTGTGGCTACAGGTAGCTGGTTCTGTGGCTACAGGTGGCTGGTTCTGTGGCTAAAGGTAGCCTATTGGACAGGTAGGGTGGCTACAGGTAGCTGGTTCTGTGGCTACAGGTAGCTGGTTCTGTGGCTACAGGTAGCTGGTTCTGTGGCTACAGGTGGCTGGTTATGTGGCTACAGGTGGCTGGTTCTGTGGCTACAGGTAGCTGGTTCTGTGGCTACAGGTGGCTGGTTCTGTGGCTACAGGTAGCTGGTTCTGTGGCTACAGGTAGCTGGTTCTGTGGCTACAGGTGGCTGGTTCTGTGGCTACAGGTAGCTGGTTCTGTGGCTACAGGTAGCTGGTTCTGTGGCTAAAGGTAGCCTATTGGACAGGTAGGGTAGGGTGGCTACAGGTAGCTGGTTCTGTGGCTACAGGTAGCTGGTTCTGTGGCTACAGGTGGCTGGTTATGTGGCTACAGGTGGCTGGTTCTGTGGCTACAGGTAGCTGGTTCTGTGGCTACAGGTGGCTGGTTCTGTGGCTACAGGTGGCTGGTTATGTGGCTACAGGTGGCTGGTTCTGTGGCTACAGGTAGCCTATTAGACAGGTATAGTAGGGTAGCTACAGGTGGCTGGTTCTGTGGCTACAGGTAGCTGGTTCTGTGTCTACAGGTGGCTGGTTCTGTGGCTACAGGTGGCTGGTTATGTGGCTACAGGTGGCTGGTTCTGTGGCTACAGGTAGCCTATTAGACAGGTATAGTAGGGTAGCTATAGGTGGCTGGTTCTGTAGCTACAGGTAGCTGGTTCTGTGGCTACAGGTGGCTGGTTCTGTGGCTACAGGTAGCTGGTTCTGTGGCTACAGGTAGCTGGTTCTGTGGCTACAGGTGGCTGGTTCTGTGGCTACAGGTAGCTGGTTCTGTGGCTACAGGTAGCTGGTTCTGTGGCTAAAGGTAGCCTATTGGACAGGTAGGGTAGGGTGGCTACAGGTAGCTGGTTCTGTGGCTACAGGTAGCTGGTTCTGTGGCTACAGGTGGCTGGTTATGTGGCTACAGGTGGCTGGTTCTGTGGCTACAGGTGGCTGGTTCTGTGGCTACAGGTGGCTGGTTCTGTGGCTACAGGTGGCTGGTTATGTGGCTACAGGTGGCTGGTTCTGTGGCTACAGGTAGCCTATTAGACAGGTATAGTAGGGTAGCTACAGGTGGCTGGTTCTGTGGCTACAGGTAGCTGGTTCTGTGTCTACAGGTGGCTGGTTCTGTGGCTACAGGTAGCTGGTTCTGTGTCTACAGGTGGCTGGTTCTGTGGCTACAGGTAGCTGGTTCTGTGGCTACAGGTGGCTGGTTCTGTGGCTAAAGGTAGCCTATTGGACAGGACGGGTGGCTACAGGTAGCTGGTTCTGTGGCTACAGGTAGCTGGTTCTGTGGCTAAAGGTAGCCTATTAGACAGGTATAGTAGGGTAGCTACATGTGGCTGGTTCTGTGGCTATAGGTGGCTGGTTCTGTGGCTACAGGTAGCTGGTTCTGTGGCTACAGGTGGCTGGTTCTGTGGCTACAGGTAGCTGGTTCTGTGGCTACAGGTGGCTGGTTCTGTGGCTACAGGTAGCTGGTTCTGTGGCCAAAGGTGGCTGGTTCTGTGGCTACAGGTGGCTGGTTCTGTGGCTACAGGTAGCTGGTTCTGTGGCTAAAGGTGGCTGGTTCTGTGGCTACAGGTGGCTGGTTCTGTGGCTACAGGTGGCTGGTTCTGTGGCTACAGGTGGCTGGTTCTGTGGCTACAGGTGGCTGGTTCTGTGGCTACAGGTAGCTGGTTCTGTGGCTAAAGGTGGCTGGTTCTGTGGCTACATGTAGTGTAGGGTAGCTACAGGTAGCTGGTTCTGTGGCTACAGGTGGCTGGTTCTGTGGCTACAGGTGGCTGGTTCTGTGGCTACATGTAGTGTAGGGTAGCTACAGGTAGCTGGTTCTGTGGCTACAGGTGGCTGGTTCTGTGGCTACAGGTGGCTGGTTCTGTGGCTACAGGTGGCTGGTTCTGTGGCTACAGGTAGCTGGTTCTGTGGCTACAGGTAGCTGGTTCTGTGGCTACAGGTAGCTGGTTCTGTGGCTACATGTAGTGTAGGGTAGCTACAGGTAGCTGGTTCTGTGGCTACAGGTGGCTAGTTCTGTGGCTACAGGTGGCTGGTTCTGTGGCTACAGGTAGCTGGTTCTGTGGCTACAGGTGGCTGGTTCTGTGGCTACAGGTGACTGGTTCTGTGGCTACAGGTGGCTGGTTCTGTGGCTACAGGTGGCTGGTTCTGTGGCTACATGTAGTGTAGGGTAGCTACAGGTAGCTGGTTCTGTGGCTACAGGTTGCTAGGTCTGTGGCTACAGGTTGCTAGGTCTGTGGCTACAGGTAGCCTATTAGACAGGTAGTATAGGGTAGCTACAGGTGGCTGGGTATGTAGCTACATGTAGCCTATTAGACAGGTAGTGTAAGTAGCTTTACTATAAGTAGCGCAAGCATAGATGGGTACCCATATATAGTCTATCAGCTGATGTAGGGTGCAACAACATATCCCCCCCATCCGCCCCCCCCCCCCCCCCCCCCGCATCCCTTGTCTTACTCCATTCTTTTAATGTTGAAATAACTTGAGTCCAATCCAAATGCCTATAATTCATCAAACAACAATTTTCATACAAAAATTCAACCATAACTTCACCCATAAATTCGCCAATAAAAGTCACCAATAAATTCACCAAATAATTAAACCGATAAAATCAACAATCCATTACTCCAGGGGTTTGGTGTTTTACCCAATGTTCTCACCACCAACCCTCCCCTCACTGCCACAAACCACGTCAACAGCAGCTACGAACGGTAATCGTGATATTTATTGCAATTTATACTTTCTCGTGGTTACTTCCCTTACATGTATTTTTAACTTTCCAATTCTTTGGGTTTTGTCAATGGATGGTGTTTTATTGTGTTATTGTTTTAGTTTAACAAAGCAAGCCTGAAGAATGGGACCATACAAATGGGTGGTGTTTTATTGTTTCAGTTTAACAGAGTAAATCTGAAGAATTGGACCATATAAACAGGGACAACAACAGGGAAGGGAAATAAAAACAACATTGAGGATGAAGGGATAAATAAATAAATAGATAAAGTTAAGTGTTAATAGATGACTAAAAATGTTAAAAGCTAGGGTGTGTTTGTGGGAGGAGGGGGAGGGGAGTGCAAGAATTGAAAAAAATTGACAGACAAGAAAAAGTGTGTTAGTATTAAGGTGGGAGTGATGTGTTACAACATGGATGTAACTAATAATACACAATTACATAGCGCTGGTTTCAATTTGAGACCATGAAAGAGTTAATGTATAAAGCCAGGCATGATGGGGTATTCACGGTATTATTTGTAAAACAAAAATGAAAATTCATTATTGAAAGAAAAAAAATTAATTGAAGGAACAGTGGTGAAGTAGAGTTCACCTAATTATTTGAACAGTGCATAAGAAATGAACTCGCAAGGCACAAAGTTTATCCTACCCAATCAATGTAGTTAGAGTTTGCTGGACACTCAAACCCCATGAAATACGAGCCCAACCAATGACCCAATATATGAACTCAACCAATGACCCCATATATGAACTCAACCAATGACCCCATATATGAACTCAACCAATGACCCAATATATGAACTCAACCAATGACCCCATATATGAACTCAACCAATGACCCCATGATATATGAACCTAACCAATGACCCCATGATATATGAGCCCAACCAATGACCCCGTATATGAACCCAACCAATGACCCCATGATAACACCAACCAATGTTATCTGCCTATAACTGACTCCTCATACTGGTTTCTCTATTGCCTGCTTTTAACTCATATAATATGGGGATCTGACCCCTTTAACTTGTAATGTGGGGATCTGACCCCTTTTACTTGTAATGTGGGGATCTGACCCCTTTAACTTGTAATGTGTGGATCTGACCCCTTTTACTTGTAATGTGTGGATCTGACCCCTTTAACTTGTAATGTGGGGATCTGACCCCTTTTACTTGTAATGTGTGGATCTGACCCCTTTAACTTGTAATGTGGGGATCTGACCCCTTTTACTTGTAATGTGGGGATCTGACCCCTTTTACTTGTAATGTGGGGACCTGACCCCTTTTACTTGTAATGTGTGGATTTGACCCCTTTAACTTGTAATGTGGGGACCTGACCCCTCTCTGACCTCTGATCCCCGACCCCCCACCCCATTATTTACCTGTAGCTTCATAGCCTCCGTCTCATGTTGGTGCCTGAGTTCCTCCATCTCCTGCCTGTGGGTCTCATGTAAGGCTTGCATCTGGTTGTCCAACAGCCGAGTCATTTCTGGCAGTGACAGAGAAAAAAATGTCGAAATCTTCAACACATTTTAACAACCATATTTTTTTTGGCATTTGAGACAATTTTTTAAAAATTGTTCTGTAAAATCTTAAATAGATGTTTGACCCTACCTTTTTTAATTTCTTCATTGGTTTTCTTTTGATCGTCTAGTTCTTTTTGAAGGATGGTAATCTTTTGCTACAGAAAAAATATATTAAAATAGAATTATTCTCAGCATTTTCATTTAATTTACAGCAATGTAAATAATTAGATAATAAGTTATTAATATTTTAGTTGACTGTGTAAAATGTAAACTTTTAGGTAACATTTGTTATTTGGTCTACTTATTCTGTCACAATAATTGTGACAGAAAATTAATATTTGAATAAACACAGGTAAATCAACATTCAATCCATACAAATTATACAACAGTAATAGAAGGTGATCTTTACAAACTCTGATAAACACATTGTGTCACAATTAATAAGCAAATAATTTTTTTTTCAACATCAAGCAAGATAAAAAATAAAACAAAGTAGGAGTTACAGTTTGAAAAAAAAAATAACTGAAAATACAAATAGAAAGAAAGGCTCTTTTATAATTAGCACAAAATCATAACACATGAACAAGTTTTAAGTATAATCATAAGATGTAATAAATTAATTAGAAAAAAAAACATTTTGAATTGATTCTTGAGCAAAAATGCACTATTTTCCAAAATATAAAAGTAAAACTTTTAATTAAATAAACTGGAACTTGAAATGTATAAAACAAAAATTAGGAATACAAAATGATGGAAAAATATTACAAAACAAATTATGAAACAAAAAACCATAAAAACTAAAATAAAATGAATATGATTGGGCAAAATAAAAAAAATAGAAAGCTTCAACAAAAATCCAACTTTTTCACTGGGTACATTTGAAAACTGCAAACCAAAACAAAGTGTCTAAATTTAACAAAGCTTAAAATCTTACCTAATATCCAAAGCTTAAATTGAAATTTTTATTGAACAGTTGAGTATAGAAGCTAAACAATAATTATACATTAATCCAATCAACATTTCAGACCAAGGTTAAATTGAAAACCATTTTTTTTAATTAAGAAAGCAATTAGTCTTCATTAATATGTATGCATTAATTAATTTTAAAAATGTTCTAAAAATGTTAATATGCTATTGAAAACTTGAGTTAAAACTAAAATAATTTATTGAGAAAAGCTGGTTAAAAAAGATAAATCGTTAAATTTTTTTTATTTCACTTCACCTGATATGGCATTCAAACAATTTTTTAAACAATTAATGAAGCAAAAAATAACATAAACCCATCTACTACCAATAATTAGGGCTTCGTCCAATTAGTATTAGTAGCGATGCCAGCCAAGCCAAAACTTGTGAGTCATGGTCAGTTCAAAAAATGGTGTCCTTAGTCTGATCACCTGAAACTCTTCTGTCAAGCTCAGGTCTGTCTTCTCCTTGATGTGGTTCACCTGAGTCAGTTCCACTTCCTGCTTGGCCAGCTGCTGGCGCTGGGAAATTATTTTGGCATCTTTCTGCTGGATTTCTTTACGCAATGCATCCAGTTCATCAGTGGCTGTCTATTTGTTTTGGTACATTCCAGGTTAAATCACATTTTTTAAAAAACCTTTGTAGTTACAAATTTATAAGGGGGGCTCAACACATGACGAATACTTTTATTAGAAAATTTTTATTGACTCCATTAACATAAATTCCAATTGGGCTGATTTATCTTTTATTATAATAATTGTATTTTAAATAATTCGTATTGACGACATTCCATTATCAACTACAAAATAAAAATAAACGTAGAAAGTTAAAACCATTCTTGCTATTCCTTAAAATGAAGTATGCTAAAAGAAAAACCACAAAATGTTGAATCAGTACAAGATGTCATTGTGTTTTCTTCTACTTGTCATAGCCAGCAAACAAGAGAAGACAACCTTGTTATCTTTCTAAACTCCCTTTGTTTAATTAGACAATCACCTAGATATTGCTAATAATTGTCATGAGTCAGTCAAATTTGAAAGTTTATTTTTAAAAAACATGTTTTAACAAGGGAAGAATTTTGACAGAACTTAATTTCCAGTTGATACTGGTTTAAACACAATTGCTTGAAAGATTTGAGACTTCATTAATGACTTGAGACATAATTACTTGAGACATAAATTATTACCTTGGCTAGTTCTGCAGCTGTTCTGTACTTTTGGACCTCCAGATTTTTAGACTCCATTTGTTTCAAAAAGTTGTGAACTTTTTCATCTTTTTCATCTAAATCTATACAATAACAAAACAGACAATTCAAATTTTTTTAATGAATTCAGACAAAATCTTGTACATGGTACTTTTAAAAACAAACACTAATAGAATGTATCAAACCTATATTGTATCTAATATTGTTAGCCTTGGCATAACATTTGTCTTAGACATAACCCTAGTCCTGCCATTGAGAGTGACAAAAGAAAAATGTTGATATATAGCACAACATTACTAAAAAAAACAAAATTGTATTTCCAGATTAAACTTATTTTTAAGCAGCAAATTTCAACCAATCAACTACACTCCAATCATTCCCTCCCTTGACCAGCCTGTGTAAAACAGAGCCAATCAGGATGTAGACTTGTATGCAATGATTACCTTTCTGCAGCGCTGTTAGCTTCTCATTCAGGCCACTAACTTCTTCCCTTGCTTGTTGCAAGGCTCTTTCTATTTTCTTTCTTCCCCTTAAACAAATACATTTATAGATTCAGTTTTCATTTGCAAAGATTTTTTTTAGTACTCCAGATAAATGTCAATATTGAAGACATCCTAAACTATTGCAGGATTTTTCACCTTTTAAAACTGTAACTTATTTTTTGCCAGTTACATTTTAATTCAACATCTGACAACTTCAAAAACTTAGCAATCCCAAGTCAATTAAATTTGCCAGATTTTTTTCTTATATAAAACTCAATTATTGTCAGATTTTTCCCTCAACCAAAACTCACTTGTTACCAGATTTTTCCCTCTACAAAAAACTCAAATGTTGCCAGATTCTTCCCACAACCAAAACTCACTTGTTGCCAGATTTTTCCCACAACCAAAACTCACTTGTTGCCAGATTTTTCCCTCTACCAAAACTCACTTGTTGCTAGCTTTCTTCTCAATAGAAGATGCCATGTAGCTGACCATCTCTCTGTTCAACTCTGCCAGTTTTCTGGACAACTCATGAGCGTGGCTCAATGTGTCTTCAACCGTGTTGCTGGCCTGTTAAGTTTTTAAACAGTCATTTTCATAGTTTTTAGGATTGGTGGATACAGTTCAAAAAGTCTTCAACTGTGTAGGTTGCATGTAAAGTAATTAGATCTTGTAATAAAACAATAGCTTTAATGGTTCATATGACAGGTGGAGTAGAGTATATCTGGATGTTCTCTACTCGTGTTTGGGAACTTTACAAAATGCATAATTTCAACCAGGTACAACTATCATACAATATTAGTTATGAAAAAAATTAACAGATACACTATTACACTACTTAATACAAATATTGGGCAAATGATACAAATAGTGGGTAAATAATAAAGGCTAATTTAATTTTTAATTTGAAGAAAGATAATTTGTTTTACAATTTTAAAAGACAAATAAGACAAATCAGTGCGTTAAAAACAACAAATGTACCTATTTAATTAAAAAATTTAACTGTGCATAATTTGAACAAACCTCTTCCAGATCCATATCAGGGGTTGTGGGAAACCAATCTTCTTCATCTATATTTTTTGAGTTCTCTGTGAAAAACTATAAGAGGCACAAATTTAATGCCATTGGATTAACATTCAATCAAACTTTAAACTTTGTCTAAACTCAAGGCATAGAGTGTGGAAGTTTGTAATAAATGTATAGATTTTAACATCAAACTATTGTTGGTTACATGCTACACCTCACACTTTATTACAAAATTATTTTATTTTGCTCATGGGAGGATGTTAAACATTTATTATAGCTAGCAAACAAACTGTGCAGATAACCTAGTGATCCCAAAAATAGCTGACTTTTTGTCAAACAGTATTTTAAAAATGTTGAAATCAGCACTCAGAAAATTCTCAAACCTCCACATATTTTTGTCACCATTGATCTTACAAACCTTAACCTAGAGTTAAAAATAAACCCTCAACTATCCACCGTGGGGCACTAGGATCTAAAAATAAACCCTCAACTGTCCACTATCAGGTGCTAGAATCTAAAAATAAACCCTCAACTATCCACCGTGGGGCACTAGGATCTAAAAATAAACCCTCAACTGTCCACTATCAGGTGCTAGAATCTAAAAATAAACCCTCAACTGTCCACTATCGGGCGCTAGTTACCTGGTTCACTTGCTGCAGGAGCCGGAGTTTCTGCTGGCAGGTCTCCGAGTAGCCCACGATAAAAATTGTCACCTGTTGCTGGTACTGGATGAGAAATTATTAGAGCTCTTCAGCTTTGGTCTTACAAAAGTTGGCCTCATTTAATACAGTATTTAGTCACTCAACTTCTAGTTCTTCAGATAAGAGCTTACAAACTAATACTAATTTTTCCTAATGATGTGACCATATAACTTTTAAGAATATTAGTGAGGAATTAATTTATATCTTCAACATATAATGTAGTACATGAGCTCTTTTTTTAAATTGATAACTTTGAAGCATTAACATAAAAAGTAAGTTAAGGATGTGGAATCTGCTAAGCTACAGTGACACACAATCACAACATTAACTTAAAAAAATGACAGGTGATGTTTATTTTAGGGTGTATCTTTAAAAAATACAAACAGAATCAACACATTTCTTTTTAATCCCATCTAGGAAATCTTAAATTAACTTAAAAGAAATAGCTGGAGGCTAAAGCAATGAGAAGAACTGGAAATGGAATTTAGAAGGACAATTGATGTTAGCTTGATGTTGGTGATGATTAATAAAACTAAAAACCAGCAACAGTAACGGGTAAAGTGCAGTTTAAATTTTGTGTAAATTATTTGTGTAGGCATCAGGCTCATTACCTGTCTTTTTTTAATCTCGTCTTTCAGAATTGATTCCAGTTCAGACTAAAAATATAAAAAGTTGAAAATAAATTGCTTCAGTGCCATAAATTATGACATAATAAATATAAAAAACGTATTTAAAACAAAATACAGAATATTTTATAAAACCAACTGTGTTATTTTGTATATAATTACAGAACAGTGTAATGTTATTTTAGCCAAAACCAACCAGATCATTGACATATTCCATGGATGTGATGGTATATCTATCATCTACCGTGTCCATAGCCCCATAAATCTGTAAAAGAAAAATAAGTAAGGTTAACAGAAAAAAATTACATTTCATTAAAGACTTGCCAAAAAAATTTATCAATGAATTTTTTCGGTTTCTAGCTAGATATTGGAGTGACTGAACTACCTATTATTTGGAAGCTAGATATTGGAGTGACTATCCACTAGTAAAACATAACTATATTCTTAGAGTACTAAAAAATGCACCAAAAGAAGTGATTTTTAATTGGTCAAGGTCAATCTGTAAAAAACAATACACCTATTTTGAAAATAACAGATACTAAAATTTAAAATGTGTTTTTCATATGTAAATTTAAAATGATCCTGAAAAACAAATTTTTGGCTAAGGTCTCTAGAAATTAGAAACAAAACTCACGCTATGGACTCTAGTCATGACTTTGTTTAGCTCATCTTTAGTTTCATCACATATCCTTTGAGCCAATGAGCGGGCATTACGGTCAATCACTGCCTGGGCTGGGGCGTCTCCTCTGTCAAGGATGGACACACTCCCAATGTAGTTCATGGCCATTTTTACTTGGAACTATAAAAATAAAAAAATCTGATCACAGAAACTGAGATCAAAATGACATTGTCAATTGTAAAATTCGGGTTTTCAGAAAGCTATCAACAGATATATTTATTTGGTGAATTTTTTTTTCAATTGTCACACTGTGTTCATCTTAGTAACTTGGCCATAATTCTAGTAAATTAGATCTAGAAAGTCACAAAAAGCCAGACCCCCCCCCCATTTAAAATGAAATCACACCTCAGTCTACAACCCGCTCAAAATTGCAGACTTCATTTTTCAAAACTTCTAAAATATTTAAAGAGCTCGGGCAACAGAGTTTATTAATCAATTTTTATCACTATTTATAAAACATTATTTGTATTGCAAAATAATGTCTAAAATACAGTTCTATTATGAATTTTCAGAGTGCAAAAGTGTGACACTGCACTTTTTGACCCCCCCCCCCCCCCCCGGAGTGTGAATTCATTATGGACGACCCCTCTTAGCCAAAACCCTAACGGTCTTGAAGTCTTGACTCACCGAGTCAAAGACAAGTCACAAGTCCTGTCACCTAACTGAATTCTACACTTTGTCTAACTGGCCTGACCCTACCCCAACAACTAGCCTAATAATTGTGCTACCAGTCAATAGCTGACTGCAAAATACTAATAATTGACAAATTGTGGCAGTAAAAAAGACAACAGAATTTGCATTGCTAACTAAACTAGATCTATACCTTGGGCTTGGATTCTTAGACTAAACCAGTACTACTACTAGCTTGATATTCTAGATCTAGCTAGAACTTTTACTTTATTAATAAAAATAAAAGTTGTGCTTCTGTAAAAGAGTAAGGCGTAACTGTTGTTTGGATTTTTATCAAAAACTTGTTTTACAACTCAGAAATAAATCTTCTTTGTCAGACTTGAATATATTTTCTACTCGGCCTATTTATTTTAATTTTACTTTTATCTACTTTCAAGGTTTTAGAACTTTTAAATTTAAAAATTTAGTTTTTAGTAACTTTTTAGGCCTAATTTTCAATTTTAGTAATTTTATAATTTAGGTCCAAGGCCTACGAAAAAAAACCATTTGTTTTTAATTTTTTAGAAAAGCTCGATTTTATTTTTCCACCAAATATTAGCATGACTGAAACATTTTAAAATGGTAATTAGAATTTTATTAGATATTTACTTGAAAGATAACTGTTAGATTCTGTACAAAGAGAAGTTACATTTTCCTACATAAAATAAAATCGAAATTTAAAGCTGTAAACAATCCGCCATTTTACCGGATTTACTTTCAACACGTGACAAGTTGCTAGACAACGGACTGTAAAAATAAATCTTAAAACATTTTCAAAATCGCATTTAAGAAAATAAATAATTAACAAAATACTAATTGCCTCGGAAGAAGACATGGTACTAAGTTTGAAGAGATAATAACATACCTGTATAGAAATAAAGTCAGGGCTTGTGAGACCTGACTAAAATATAATTTTATATATAAAATAAAATAATACTAAACTCTACATATTGTAAACCTACCTCTTTTACTAGACTAGACTAAGATTTTTGTGGGAGGTGGTGGTCGAGAAATATGATTTTGATTTTTAAAAAATGAATATACATAATGTAGATCTATAATCTCAAATAATATTTATTAAACATTTTAGTATTGCTATTAGATCTAGAGGGATATATTTTTGCGGAGGGGGGGGGCTGCTTTTCGTGACGACCCGCGCAAAAACGAGTTGACTCGTCTATTCTCTATCATAATGTATTGTATTGCGTTACTTATAGACGATTCTAAAAATACCAAAGGCGCCACCTCAAGGAAGAGGTGTGCCAAAGAGGACAGAAAAAAATAAAATAAAACGCTTTTCGTTATAGCTGCATTACTGCAGTATACACCGTCGAACTGTTTTCTACATCAACGATGTGATACCCGGGCCAAGTATTGTCAATGCTGTGAATGATGCCAAATACTCCCGACAGTGTTTCTTCCCGACTTTTTTCTCCGCAGGGAGTGGGGGCACTTTAAATTTTCGGGGGGGGGCTAAAATTTCTGGGGGGGGGAGGGGGCGGACACTGTTAAAAGTATATATTTCCTATATAAATTCCATTTCGTTCGGGGGTGGGTGGGGGGGGGGGCGGTAAATGGACCACCCCCCCCCTCCCCGAAGAGATGCCTGGAAGAAACGCTTGAAGAATGTGGACAATTGAGCAAACCTACATGGGTGTGAGACAGAACGGACACAGATAGAGACGCGTCTCAAAATCTCAAGTCTAGTGTTTCATTTTGTCTGACTCAGCAGCGGCTAGTTTAGATTGCAGGGTACGTAATTCGTTGTGTTCCGTCCTCTGCTTTCGGCCACTTGGAAAATTATTGTACTGTGTGCCCTTGTACTAGGCTGCCTGCTGTCCTGCCAATGTTGTGTTTGTAGAAATCATTGACTTGCTATAAACAATTGTTAATAACACACATAACTACTGTTTAGTTGGGTAGTTTTTTCTGTAGGCCTATATTAGCCAGAGGCGTAGCGGCCCATTCCGAACTATCATGCAGTTTAGCCCCCCCCCCCCTCACACACACACTTTATGTAGGCATATATAGTGTATAGTATACAACAAAGCAACTCAACATGATCTTTTAATATTATTTTTTTCCTACGGCCGGCACCGGGGACGGACGTCCAGCATATCAACACTCGTAACTAAACTTTTATTGAGTTGAAAAAGTTTTTAAAGTAGGCTATATCAACACACAGAACAACACTTCCAGTGTTTCTTCCAGACTCCGTGGGGGCACCTGAAATTTTCGGGGGTCGGACTAAAATTTCCGGGGGGGGGGGGGGGCGGACGGACACTGTTAAAAGTATATATTTCTATATTAATTCCATAAATTTCCCCCACCCACGAAGAGATGCCTGGAAGAAACACTGAACACTTCTATAGTTTGAGTAGTTTGTTAATGTTCCTAAACACATAGAAATACTACTGTGATAGTGTTCTGAAGAATATCTTAAGCGAATCTTCACACAGAAGCTTGCGCTAAACATTTTATTTGTCTTGTTTATTATCATTTTACTTTAAGTATTTCGCCTTTCACCAGAAATAAGCCTGCGTTGTGACAACAATTTATAATAAAGTGCGCGTTACTAAAAATAAATGAAGATAGCTCAGTGCTATCACGAGACTGAGGGTCAACCGGTGCATAAACTCGGAGTGACACCCCCATACCCCCGTCACCAATTTTACATTTTAGGTCGTCCACCACCCCCTATCATTCATTATTTTAACTTCCACTTTTAAAAAAATATTTTTTGTTTTGTCAGTAAAGTTTTCATTTTTTATTTGCTATCACCACGTCAACGATTTTACCCGATGCGGGACCTTCCCCCCCCCCCCCCCCCCCACCCCTTCAGCTTCTGCCGAGGAGAGCCTTAGTTAGGCTTTGTGTTACATTGATGATCTAACATACCAAAGTACAAATCTGCACCACGATTAGTGCATAGAACAATAGCAATACAAGTGAGGAAAAATGTGACGATCATCAAGTTATTTCAAGCAGGAAGGGTGCTTTCGCTATGTCGTCATTTGTGGCGGGTCTATTTAATTTTTTTAATGCGTGGTGATGAGGGGGTTAATGCATCTAAAATGGTGTGATGTCATGTTTGGGCAAGCCTTATAACGACCGCAGACTGTCTTGCTATGTTTGTACTTGTAAACATATTTGAATTTAAAGACCAACAATATGGTTATTTACACTGACACGCTGTGACACATATAATAGGACTGCGTGTATGTTAAACTAGGCTTTGAACTCCACTCTATGCGGTGCTTACTAAATTATACTAGGCTAATTATAAAGATTGTTGAATCTTCTATTTTTCTATCTATAAACATTCTCATATCTGCCCGCCACTGGCCAACTATAAATAACTGCGTTTGTTCAACTTGCAGCCATTTCCTAAATGCCCAATTACGTATTATTTCACGCGGTGAGTGAGCACTTTGGTCTGTTACTCATCCTCACATTGTCAGTGTACCGTGTCACTTCCGGTAAGTTGCAGATAGATCTATAGAAGGTGGAACTTCTAAACTAGGCAGTGAGTACCATATGCAGGCACAGTCGCAGAGCTTTATGTAGGTCACGTGATACTGAAAGAGCAGGGTTGTGACGTAGTGGATCCCACTTCGGCACACTGTATGTGTGTGGGGAGAATCAACATGAAGTAAAGATTGACATGAATTAGAGAAGAATGTACAGCAGTATCAACATGAAGCAAAAGATGGACATGAATTAGAGAAGAATGTACAGCAGTATCAACATGAAGCAAAAGATGGACATGAATTAGAGAAGAATGTACAGCAGTATCAACATGAAGCAAAGATTGACATGAATTAGAGAAGAATGTACAGCAGTATCAACATGAAGTAAAGATTGGCGTGAATTTGAGAAGAATGTATAGCAGTATCAACATGAAGCAAAGATTGACATGAATTAGAGAAGAATGTACAACAGTATCAACATGAAGCAAAGATTGACATGAATTAGAGAAGAATGTAGCATACAGCAGTATCAACATGAAGCAAAGATTGGCACGAATTAGAGAAGAATGTACAACAGTATCAACATGAAGCAAAGATTGACACGAATTAGAGAAGAATGTACAACAGTATCAACATGAAGCAAAGATGGACATGAATTAGAGAAGAATGTACAACAGTATCAACATGAAGCAAAGATTGACATGAATTAGAGAAGAATGTACAACAGTATCAACATGAAGCAAAGATTGACATGAATTAGAGAAGAATGTACAACAGTATCAACATGAAGCAAAAGATGGACATGAATTAGAGAAGAATGTACAACAGTATCAACATGAAGCAAAGATTGGGATGGGTGGACCATCTCTGGGGCGATATCAAAGCAACCAAACGATATTTATCTATAGTCAGTTTTTAATGCAGCTGGGCTTAGTATTATTATCTCTATAGTTTGCATGTTAACGTCGTGGTATCACCCCCCCCCCCCCCCACACACACACACATTTTGTCGGGATCATCATTATGTAAAAATTCGTTTTAGCTCTAATTAACCATTCATCGAACTGGCAAAAAAACATGTTTATTCTATATATGGGGGTCACCCATAAATGACGTCCCGCTTATTTTGACGATTTTTACCCCCTCCCCTCCGTCACACATCGTCACAAAAAGCCAGACCCACTCCTAAAATGACCCCAAAATTGCAGTTGAATTTTTCTTAAAAAATCGACATTTTCCCAAAATCTTGCCTGAACTCCGTCAACAAAGAGTATTTTAATCCATTTATGTTACAATACATTAAAACAAACACGAAATAACGGCTAAAAGTAGTTTTCTAACATTGCTTTTTTTGTAATGCAAAAGTGTAACGTCACACCATCTGATCCCCCTCCCCCTCATCACACACCGTCACAAAATTACGGACCCCCATAGTTAAGTCACTCAGAGTTTCTTACACCCCCCCCCCCCAAACGAAATGAAATTTATATAATTTATATAGAAAATATATACTTTTAACAGTGTCCGCCCCTCCCCCCCGCCGAAGGAAGTCTACCGCCCCCGCCCGAAAATTTCAAGTGCCCCCCCCCCCCCCCCCCCCCCACCGGAGAAAAAAGTCTGGAAGAAACACTGCAGTCACTACCTCTTAATACTCTTATCACTAAATTATAAACATGAATGGATGGTCAATGTTTTTTCTATTGCTGTTTTCCTTTCTAGCTTTTTAAACAGTTAACATCTATTAAGGGGAAATTCCTAAGTTATAAATAGAATATTTGCTTACTAGTGGACCATTGGTATTTAGGATGCGCATTTTATGATGACGTTTTTAGCAAAATCGTAAGCGGAAAAAAAAGTACTAGCAAAAAGGAAAGCAGGAAATATAGGAAATAGAACACTGTTGTTGGTATCGATAGTCACAATTGATTATGATTTACCTGCAATCTTCCATTATGCAATTGGACTTTTGATTTAAATAAAAGTAGTGAGTATTGCAAACTTCTAACTTCTTGACAGTAAAATAAACAAAAAGTGAAATAAAATTACTTTTAATCGTTCTCTAATCTAGTAATCTTCTTCCTCATTCTCATCACACATCAAAAACTCGAAATAAGAATCACAGGTCGGACGAAAATAATTCAATCGTTACGTTGTACTAATCTAGAGATCTAGAATCTAGATCCAGAGAGTCTAGATAAATATTATCTAGTAGCTAGAAATCTAGATAATAAATCTATATTATTGTACTGGTAGGTCTATTTGTAGGCTAATTTTAAGTAGCCCAATTTCTTTCTTAATGGCTAATGCTCACCTTTTGTCAATTTGTAGATCTCTAGATTTCTAGTACTTTAGTGAACTTGATATCTTTACTATCTACTAGATTCTAGATTTCTATCTAGAGTAGGCCTAGTAGGGGGTCGTCCATAAATGACATCACACTCATAGGGGGGTAGGGGGTCCATAATTTTGTGACAGTGTGTGATTAGGGGGAGGGGAGGGGAGGAGATTCAGATGGTCACTTGACATCACACTTGCATTATAAAAAAGCAATGTAAGAAAATGAGTTTTAGCCGTTATTTTGCGTTTTAGAAAATCGTTCTAATAAATTGTATTAGGAATTGATTAAAATACTCTGTTGACAGAGTTAAAACAGGATTTTGGAGGGGGAGGGGGGGGATCCATAATTTTGTGATGGTGTGTGATTAGGGGAAGGGGAGGAGATTCAGATGGTCACTTGACATCACACTTGCATTATAAAAAAGCAATGTAAGAAATGAGTTTTAGCCGTTATTTCGCGTTTTAGAAAATTGTTCTAATAAATTGTAGGCTATTAGAAATTGATTAAAATACTCTGTTGACAGAGTTCAGACAGGATTTTGGAAAAATATCCATGTTTTAAGAAAAATTCAACTTCACTTTTGAAGGGGGTTGTAGAATGAGGTATGATTTCATTTTAAGGGGAGGGGGACTGGCTTTTTTGTGATGATGTGTGATGCTGAGTGATGCTGAGATACGAATACACAATTAATACTAGTCATTAATACTAACAGGCACCGTTACTGTAGTCTGTAGGCCTAACTATATGTTTCATCTTTATTCTAGTTCAGTAGGGCCTACTGACATAGTTTTATGAGTAGTAGTTTGTACTGTGTAGGGCAGTGTAGGGCCTCTAGAATCTAGATCTACTTATTAATTACTTATTACTCCTTAGGTGTGTGGTGTGTTGTATTGTTTTCAGTAGTCAGGCATTACTGTAGTCTTAGTGAATTGCACTGACTGTAGACTGTAGGCTAATTTTTAAAATTAGTATGATTTAGTAGAAATATTTAAAAGTAAATACCCCTCATACTCATAGAATACCTAGATCCTTGTATTGTTGCTTGTTGCTTGACCTACTTTTTTTTTACCGTCATCATGGTAATGATGGCTGCCAAAAACGATGATACAGTGATTCCGTTTTTTTAACAATGTTTCATGGTCATTTCAGAAATATATAGGCTAATTAAAATCGTGATTTTTGCGTATTATTCAATGGTACCGATCTAGTTTTAACTGTTGATGATTAGTGTTTGATGTAAACTTGCCATTTGTACATTTTTTTGGTCTAATGGCTGAGAATATTGAGCAGAACATAAAGTAAGCAAAACATTAATTACGGTATTTATTGTAAACATACTTTGAACTTTAGAAAATTATATATTACGTCCTACTAAACTAATCTAATAAATTTTTAAAAAAATTATGCAATACAGGTTTAAAAAAAACCTTAAAAAATAACTTGATCGAGACAACAGTTAACTAAGCCTGCCCATTTTGCCCACCATGTATTTGAATGGAAGAAATCTAGCTGAGGCCACATTTGTGCGGTCAATCGTGTCACAACAACACTCCTTAAAAACTAACTGTAACCCACCCTATCAGTCAAAGCATTGTAGCCATTTTTTAAAAAACGAGTTTTTTTCACAAGTCAGTTTCTAGGCTACTGATTAATTTTGATAATTAAAATTTGTATCAAATTAAAGGTAAATAAATGTAGTTTTTAATTGTTTAAGTCATCCTGTACAATAATGAAGTTTAAAATCTTAGGCATCACCCTATTGTACTGGCTTTCACACTTGACAGTAGACTTCATCCACAGATATGCAGAATCTGAAGGAAAATATTGGATTACTTGATGTGTAGTATGTAGGCCTATGTCTAGGCCTAGCATTTACTGTATCTGTAGTGATGTAGACTAAACTGAGTTTATTAAATTTGCAATAATAAATATTAGAATTTAAGATCCAATTTTTTGTAAGATATGCGGCTTATTTATTGTCTATCTATTCCAATACTATCAGTATTTATAATGTTATGATGTGGCACCTAAATCCATAAGTATTAAGTTCAGTTAGCAGGCTTTGTACCTTTGGGATGTACCATTAGTCTTGTACTGCTCCTTGTGAGATAGTTTTCTCTTGCTCATTGTTTTCTCTAGAATCTTGTACTTTGTACTACTGTAATTTAGTGTAATTTACTTTTAAAATTATTGTCAGCAAGTCATCATGCTCACCAATCACCAACTGGACCATGTCACATACAATATATTTTTTGTCATGTGCAGCCTTTATTCAGTTGTTAAAAATATACAATAATGTGTATATACTTCTCTAGACAATACTTGTCAGCACTAATCTAAAAAAAATGTAGCAGTTTGTAACCTTTTAAAAATGATTGTTTGTGAGACTGAATGCTTATTTGTACTACTCATACCTCGGACATTGATTGATCAAACCTAAGCCTATTCTCTGTTTTTTAAAGCTACCTAACACCCTTTTTTCTCCACATCTTTTTTATAAGTATACCAGTTTAAGGAATTAGTATAGGTGCATCAGATTCCCATTTCAATGACTAAAACATTAGAGATAAACATTTACATAAGCACACACTACAGACTATTTTTTATTACCATTTTCTTGTAATGGGATCACACGATCAAGTGATAGAGCACATGAACGCTAGTCTGAAAGTCTTGAGTTTGGTTGCCTAGCAAATTGTCTGTGAGTCCACCCAGCTTTGGGGGGTACTCAACTGAACACTAGTCTGAAAGTCATGAGTTTGGTTGCCTAGCAAATTGTCCCTGAGTCCACCCAGCTTTGGGGGGTACTCAACTGAATACTAGTCTGAAAGTCTTGAGTTTGGTTGCCTAGTAAATTGTCCCTGAGTCCACCCAGCTTTGGGGGGTACTCAACACCAGTAGATGCTGTTATGAAAGTGATTGCTGCTGGCATAGAACTGATCACACTATCCCTTCACATGCTAGGGTCACAGAACAGGTGAACTCTACTTCATCTGCATTGTTGAAAGTCAGGTCCTAATAAGGGTAAATAAGTTTAAATAACTTATTTCCTAGTACTGGTTAAAACTTGAGCGTGGATCAATTTTCCAGTTCAGTGTGAATAAAACCCTAGCTATAACATGATACAGGTTAAACTTCAAGTACAGGCAAGTGGCAAGCCTGTTACATGAGTGCTTAAGTACTCAACACAACAATACTGGTGTGTTTTTATGGAATGGTAGTTCATTTGGTTTGCTTGACATTAGCTCAGCTGAATGATGACATGTCCATTGATTCAGTAACACTTAATAGCAGTGGAAGGATGAACCTCTTGACATTAGTGTTTATAACAATCCAGTTTTTGATTCAAATTTGTACAGAAAAACTATTAAGCTTTCCACAGGAAATCTTACAATTATTTACAACAGCATGCAGATTCTGTTGTTGAAAGATAACAAAAAGATATCCATTTATAGTAGACCTACACTTAGCCTGCAATGTTTAAATATATGTGGTCTTCAACGTAACTAGCAGTAAGGCAAGTAAATGAAACATGTAGCACTACCCAACCAGTCATCCAGTAGTGCATTCATCTATATCTGCATCAATACACAGCTTCTAGTGTAAGTGTAAGGGTCTTTAGAAGTTTGGTGGCTTGTTAGCCTTCCATCAGAAGCTTACATCATATCTTGTTTTTAATAGTTTTTTTGTGTATAGGAGATTTAAGAACCCTTTCAGGCATGCTGGGCAGTGGGGCAGGTCAAGAAGGTTCCATCTGTTGAATAGGAAGCTTTAGTGTAAGTGTGTTAGCACTCTGCCAGCCTTGTTTACTTTTTAACTTGAGTGAACAGATTCAGGGACGTCATGCAGACTAAGGCAAGGAACTGAACCCATGACTATTGGGCGAGCTGTCATGTACCATTCCACTTGACCACACCATCACCAGTTGTTAGAAAGTGTTGAATGAAATTTAAAAATATTTCTGAAGAGTTTTCTCCACAATTGCATCACCAGTTGTTAGAAAGTGTTGAATGAAATTTAAAAATATTTCTGAAGAGTTTACTCCACAACTGCATCCTGTTGTATCAGGAGTGAGAGTAATCTGTCACACTGGGCAAGTTATCTCAGTGTTTTAACACTTCCTTGTGCGTCACTGCCCAGATTTCTCCACCTCTCAGCGACCAGAAAGTAGCCTAAGAAATTGGATGATATGGATGGCTTACACAACTGAATAAGCTCATATATTTTTTTTATTAAGTAGGTCTGCGCCAAATTTTATTATTTTTTTAAAACAGCTAAAAATGATTTACGTGAGAGAAATAATTCACAGGTGGCTGATTTTGTTTTAGGAGTAAAACTATACCTTAATAAATCATATAAAGCTGTTTCATTGGTTTAAGTAACTTGGCACTTTTTTCATCCCATCAATTGTATTGATTTTCAGTCTACAATCTACAAATGAACCCTCTAACTAACCTACCTACCTATTTACACCCAACCTACCCCAAGCGTGTCACTTCCTCCCTCGTTTTGCTACTGCATTCTGAAATTCTTGTGTGCACAAGTTGTAAACAAATTCACTTTAATAAAACAATCTTTTCATTGGTATTAAAACATATAAACAAAGGGAAGGCACTCTAATCCCTACTTTAATGTTTACAAACAATGTCCCTACATTCATTACAAAAACCCCAGTATGTTCTTAAAAAGCATGATCCACACTTGCTTCCAACATGGCTAATATTTATGAAAGTTGTGCCCCTTTGTTTATTTCCTCCAAGTATTTCTCCCTTACAATTTAATGTAGTTGCTTTTAATGGAGGGCCATTGTGTATTTTTTGCTTCACTGAATCTAAATGTATGTGTAGCTAATGTAAAAAATATGCTACATAACTGTAAATCTTCAAGTTCACATTTTTAAGTTCCCATGTTTAAAGTTTTAAATGTGTACATTCACACTAGGAATAAAGTAGCTGCATCCTTAACCACCAATGGTTTGATTTTTCCTGAGTAACACAGCAGGTAGCTAGTCAGTTGTGTTATGACATTCTATTGAGTTGTTTCTGCGACACACATGGCTGACAATAATTTATTGAAGTTATCAGTGGGGTGGTTTGTTTGTACAAGGACCAGCCCAGTGAAGATGGCTTGTGCTTGGTATGTTGATACCAAAGTTCATTTCTCTTTCTGAAGAGCTGTTGGGATTCAACTTTCTTGCACTACCAGTTTAATATAATCCAATATTAAAAATTTGAGCAGGTAAGTAAATATTGGAGCTACTAATTGTTCAACCATTGGCTAACAGAATTAGCTCACCTGGTTTCCCTTCCTGGATGTGGGAGGAGAGAGTTTACCTATGTATAGACAGGGCAGTTTACCTTGAGAGATTTGGTTTAAACCTTCATTTTAAAACAAGGATGTAAATGTAGATTTGTACATGGGTGTGGACTAGTTCCCTAGCCAGGTACTAGGCTACAGGTTTGAGTTGTGTGGTCATGTGCTGTGTCTTATTGCCTCAGGTTGGGTTGTGTGGCTATTAATTTAGTGCTACATTGCCTAGGGTAACTTTGTTTCATATGTTGGTTATTATGTGTTGGGTTACAAGGAATGAGTTAAGTGTTATGTGATAAGAATCAGTATAATATTGTATTTAATTTTTAAGACAGATTAATGAAAGCTTGTATTGTAAAAGTTTGATGATTTAATATTAATATGAATCATCATTCATCATTATTTTTACTTAAAAGCCCATGCATTTACCAGACTCCACCAGACTCTTGTTTTGGGCAGCTGTTTATTTGATCCCCACGTTAGCCCAGCACTCTTTGCTTCTCCTTCCTCTGTCCTTCTCTAGGATGGCTTTGTTAAACTTTTATCACCTGGTATTACACTATTTATTACTTTTCTGTGTGACTGAAAATGGTAGCTGCAGTGAGACTTCATATTGTAAAAAATGATAGTGTTAGCAATCTTACAAATGCTCTAGTGCTTGCATGATGTCTGGTACATCTGGAGCCATCCTTCTTGTGAGTTTAAACAATCATCCACTGTTTCTGTCTCCGCAGGAAATCAGCCCCCACCATGGGCTTTGGGAAAGACATGAGGGGGAAGCTGTCCCATGATTCCATGGTGCACATCCAGGAGGCGGAGATCCGGCTCCTGGAGACTGTGCAGACCTTCATGGCCATGCGTGTGGAGAATGACAAGAAGTACGTGCTGGGGCTGGGGAAGATGCTTCACAAGGCTAGCTCTGAGAACTCGGAGTTCAAAGATTGCTGCAGCGTCTTCAGGGTATTTGGCACATTCTTTTATTTATAGGTGGGAGGTTTACAACTGTAAGAATGGCTGGACTGATCAGGTATCCTTACACTTGTACTTGTACTAGCTTGTTTTATGTATTGGTGGGAGGTTTACAACTGTAAGAATGGCTGGACTGATCAGGTATCCTTACACTTGTACTAGCTTGTTTTATGTATTGGTGGGAGGTTTACAACTGTAAGAATGGCTGGACTGATCAGGTATCCTTACACTTGTACTAGCTTGTTTTATGTATAGGTGGGAGGTTTACAGCTGTAAGAATGGCTGGACTGATGAGGTATCCTTACATTTGTACTAGCCTGTTTTATGTATTGGTGGGAGGTTTACAACTGTAAGAATGGCTGGACTGAACAGGTATCCTTACACTTGTACCAGCTTGTTTTATGTATAGGTGGGAGGTTTACAACTGTAAGAATGGCTGGACTGATCAGGTATCCTTACACTTGTACCAGCTTGTTTTATGTATTGGTGGGAGGTTTACAACTGTAAGAATGGCTGGACTGAACAAGTATCCTTACACTTGTACTAGCTTGTTTTATGTATAGGTGGGAGGTTTACAACTGTAAGAATGGCTGGACTGAACAGGTATCACACTTGTACTAGCTTGTTTTATGTGTTGGTGGGAGGTTTACAACTGTAAGAATGGCTGGACTGATCAGGTATCCTTACACTTGTACCAGCTTGTTTTATGTATTGGTGGGAGGTTTACAGCTGTAAGAATGGCTGGACTGAACAGGTATCCTTACACTTGTACCAGCTTGTTTTATGTATAGGTGGGAGGTTTACAACTGTAAGAATGGCTGGACTGATCAGGTATCCTTACACTTGTACCAGCTTGTTTTATGTATTGGTGGGAGGTTTACAACTGTAAGAATGGCTGGACTGAACAAGTATCCTTACACTTGTACTAGCTTGTTTTATGTATAGGTGGGAGGTTTACAACTGTAAGAATGGCTGGACTGAACAGGTATCACACTTGTACTAGCTTGTTTTATGTGTTGGTGGGAGGTTTACAACTGTAAGAATGGCTAGACTTTTCAGGTATCCTTACACATGTACTAGCTTGTTGGACTAGGCTTGGTTACATGTTAGCTAGGATTGTAGTTTTAACCAAGGTATGACAAGCTTAGATACATTGTGAAGTGTTGTGTTGGCTGGTGTTTTTTTTTTAGTATCCTATCTACCCCAGCAAATAATCTTGTGTATCTTTGACCCTAGTCCTGATTCTAATCATTACCTTATTAGCAATACATAAAGCAGAAAAATCTTCAAGAATATACTGTATTGTTCTGCCTACACTAAGTACTACATTTATCCTGAGGAAGTTGCAGGCTTGAAATTTCAAATTGATTTGACTAAGGGAGATGTAAGGAAAAGTCCCACAATTGCTGTTACAGCAGCTTGTCTTATACACACAACAATTGTCTCTTAGCAACAGAATTATTGTGCACTCTGTCAGCTATAAGAATTACATTGTTGAATTCTTTAAGATGTGTTGGGAAGGAATTATTTTGTTTTGTCAGATTCATAATTTTAGGGAAAATAATATTAGCGGGATGCTATCAAGTAACATGAATGAAAATTAATTTTAGTTTTGTTTCTTTAGTTTGGCCATACCTTGAATGAATATTCCAACTTTTGAACAGGCTTGGGATGTGGTCCTGAAGGAAACAGACAACCTGATGAAGACAATGAAGACAAATGCTGATTACATCCAGTCTAGTACCCTCGATGTCTTGATCCAGTTAATTAATGAGAAAAAATTAGCCAGGAAGAAATATTTGGATGAGAGATACAGACTGGACTCTAATTTTTCTAGGGTAAGATTTTAGTGGATAGCACCCAATTAAACTTGTCAACTATATATATGGATGATTATGTTACAACATTCTCTGGACACAAAAAACCAACCCTTTAAGATTTAATGGTCCATAGATAGAGTAAGCTGTATTGCTAGCTGTAAGTATTATGTTTATAATTAAACACCACTGCCCCTCCATAAGTCCTAGTCCTACCATGTGTGTTGTTATGTTTATAATTAAACACCACTGCCCCTCCATAAGTCCTAGTCCTACCATTGTATTGTTATGTCCTCAGGTCCAGGATGAAGTCAACAAGAACAAATCTGAATACGTGAGAGCTGTGGAGAGGTTAAACTCTGAAAAATCAAAGTATTGTCAGCTACAGACTAAAGGTAATGGTGTTTGCTGTGTTTGACTTAGTTTGGGCGCTTGAAAAAGTTCTTGAAAGATGGTCAATTTTAAACTTATGCATTATTACAAGTACTCAGCCAAAATAATTAGTAGATACAATAACCCCCCCCCCCCCCCCCCCCCATAAAAAATCTGTACATCTACATTCACCCCCGTAAAATATCCACAATAACCCCCATACAAATCTAAATCAACCTCTATAAAATAGCTACAATATACCCCTTAAAAGATCTAAAATGACCTCTGAGAGTTAATACACAACCAATACACAGACAAAAAGCAATTTTCCTGTCACCCAAAGAGTCCACACAAGTATAGCTAACACAACATTTGTCTTCCATGCACCCAGGAAAGGGAGGCCCTAAAGTGGACGAGGCTAAGAACAAGTTCTACAGCTCCGCTGTCCGGCTCCACCGGCTCCACAACGACTACATCTTCTCCATCCACACGGCTCAGGAACACCAGGCCATGCTGCGTGAGTCGGCCCTGCCTGCTGTCCTGGACTGTCACCAGGACGGGCAGGAGGCTCTTGTACACAAGATGTGAGTCATAGTTACATTCTCATTGGTCAAGATTTAAGTCACAGCTACATTCTCATTGGTCAAGATGTAAGTCACAGCTACATTCTCATTGGTCAAGATGTAAGTCACAGCTACATTCTCATTGGTCAAGATGTAAGTCACAGCTACATTCTCATTGGTCAAGATGTAAGTCACAGCTACATTCTCATTGGTCAAGATGTAAGTCACAGCTACATTCTCATTGGTCAAGATGTAAGTCACAGCTACATTCTCATTGGTCAAGATGTTTTGTACACAAGATGTGAGTCATAGTTACATTCTCATTGGTCAAGATGTTTTGTACACAAGATGTGAGTCATAGTTACATTCTCATTGGTCAAGATGTTTTGTACATTGTACATAAGATGTTTATCATAGCTACATTCTCATTGGGGGGGTGTTTTGTACATAAGATGTAAGTCATAGCTATGGTCAAGATGTTTTGTACATAAGATGTAAGTCATAGCTCCATTCTCATTGGTCAAGGTGTTTTGTACACAAGATTTCAATTAATCATGAATATAGGATTCTGTACATAAATTAAAATTCTCAATATTTCTTCTCTAAATAAAACCTCAGTCTTGAATAATTCTGTTTAAAAATATTTACCAAATAAATTGGTGATGTGGACTCACAAGGGTCAAACTTTAATTATCTTATCATAATTTATCATAGACTGCTTTTCCTCCACAGAAAATATGTCCTTGATGATTATTTAAAGCACACCAACACATGCAGCTCAGAGTTTCAGTCTATCACCTCTAATATCCAAGATGCAATACACGCCATACGGCCAGGGGAAGAGTACTCTAGTACATTTATTGATATACACAAGTAAGTTCCCCTTTCTTGTTCTTTTTTAAACATCTGGACATGCTCAACTTATGATTTAGGCTCTTTTAAAACATGCATAAAATCTTCATCATTTCCCATCATTTCCCATCTTTCCCTTAGACAGATGAAGTAGAGTTCAGTTTCAGTGATCTCATAAAACATTTATAATGGTGGTCAGCCAAATACCCAGCCATGTGGGTCAGGTATCCATCAGAGCTGGCTGGACTCAGGAACATTCTAGTGAACTCAGGGATATCCTACTGACTCCAAACTTGATCTTTTGGGTTAGCAGTCAAGCTTTATCATCCAACCACTCTGTCCCATATGGGACGGAGTGGTCTAGCAGTAGAAAGCTGGACTGCTAACTCGTAAGTCTCAAGTTCAAATCCGGGTTCAAGTCAGTAGACTGTCCCTGAGTCCACCCAACTCTGATGGGTACCTAACTCACGTTAGGGAAAGTAAAGGTGGCTGGGCATAGTGCTAACCACACTATCTCTTCATATGCCGAAGTGAACTCTACTTCACTTGCCCTATAGACCGTCAGGTTTGAAAAGGGAACTTTACTTTTTGACTCGGTCCCATAAAATGTTCATTAGCCTACAGAGAAAATATACAAGCACTAAAAAAGTGCCTATAACTTACTATGCAAGTATAAAAAATGTTTGATGTCCCCTCAGGTCACCTTTACCCCCACCTGTAGAATTTAACTTTGAGCCCAGGCTATTGGATGACTACCAGGGAACATTGAAAGCTAACGTCATTGAGGTCAACGAAGCTACGGCACAGTTGTTGCAGCAAAGGCAAGATGTCATTATTTTTTGTGTTGATACTAAGTTCTGATTGGTTGTTTTAGTATTTATGTAGTCTTCATTGGTTGATTTACCTTATGAGAAGTTCTGATTGGTTGTTTTAATAATCTATGGCAAGGTCTGATTGGTTGTTTTAGTTTTTGGGTAGTGCTGATTGGTTGTTTTAGTTTTTGGGTAGTTCTGATTGGTTGTTTTAGTTTTTGGGTAGTCCTGATTGATTGCTTTAGTTTTTGGCTAGTCCTGATTGGTTGTTTTAGTTTTTGGCTAGTCCTGATTGGTTGTTTTAGTTTTTGGGTAGTCCTGATTGGTTGTTTTAGTTTTTGGGTAGTCCTGATTGGTTGTTTTAGTTTTTGGCTAGTCCTGATGGGTTGTTTTAGTTTTTGGGTAGTCCTGATTAGTTGTTTTAGTTTTTTGGGTAGTCCTGATGGGTTGTTTTAGTTTTTGGGTAGTTCTGATTGGTTGTTTTAGTTTTTGGGTAGTCCTGATTGGTTGTTTTAGTTTTTGGGTAGTCCTGATGGGTTGTTTTAGTTTTTGGGTAGTCCTGATGGGTTGTTTTAGTTTTTGGCTAGTCCTGATTGGTTGTTTTAGTTTTTGGGTAGTCCTGATGGATTGATTTAGTTCATGAGATTGTTCTGGTTGTTTTAGTCTATGAGATGTTCTTTTTTTTTTAATCTATTCTATAAGATTGGTTGTTTTAGTCTTTGAGGAGTTCTGATTGTTTTACTCTACAAAAGTCCTGGTTGGTTTAATGGTTGCAACATCTGTCTAAGATGTGTAATATTTGTTGGTCCCTGTCTAAGATGTGTAATATTTGTTGGCCCCTGTCTAAGATGTGTAATATTTGTTGGCCCCTGTCTAAGATGTGTAATATTTGTTGACCCCTGTCTAAGATGTGTAATATTTGTTGGCCCCTGTCTAAGATGTGTAATATTTGTTGGCCCCTGTCTAAGATGTGTAATATTTGTTGACCCCTGTCTAAGATGTGTAATATTTGTTGGCCCCTGTCTAAGATGTGTAATATTTGTTGGCCCCTGTCTAAGATGTGTAATATTTGTTGACCCCTGTCTAAGAAGTGTTGGCCCCTGTGTAAGATGTGTAATGATTCCCCAGGCTGGCCACAGTGAATGAGGAGATAGAGGAGACAAAGACCCAGCTGTCCAGGGTCAACTCTGACCATCAGAAGCTTCTGGTGGACCTGAACAAACTGACCACTAAGATTGTAGAGAGCCCCAGCATAGATTATGTCAACAGGTCAGTTGAGCATGTCTGTGTATGGGGGGGGGGTGTCTTTGTAGTGTGGTGTGGTGGGGGATGTCTGTGTGGTGGGGAGGGCTGTGTAGTGTGGTGGTAAATATATCTGTGTGGTGTAGGGGGGGGCTATGTCTGTGCATGGTGGGGGATGTCGGTGTGGTGGGAGGGGGGTGTCTGTGTGGTATGGTGTGGGGGCTGTTTGTGTGGTGTGGGGATGTCTGTGTGGTGTGGTGAGGGTGTCTGTGTGGTGTGATGTGGTGGGGAATGTGTGGTGTGGTGGGGGATGTCTGTGGTGTGATGTGGTGGGGAATGTGTGGTGTGGTGGGGGATGTCGGTGTGGTGGGAGGGGGGTGTCTGTAGTGAGAGATGATTTCTCCTTGTTGAGAAAGTAGGTTAAGATTTGAATTCTGCATTGAATCTTCTGGTGTAAGTATATTGACTGAGTGAATCTTCCTGTGTCCCCAGCTACATAGAGAAAAGATCGCAGTCAGAAAACCACACCAGAGAGATTCTAGAACTGGAGGGCAACTTGAAGAAACTGGAAAACTTGGTCCAAGTTTTGAAACAACCGCTAAATCAGCTTGGTAACAGCTCCCCACCTCCAGTGTCAGATGTCCAAGATATTGATGTAAGTTCTAGCATGTCTTTGCTTGCTATACAACCATACTCTGGTCAGGTTTTTAACAAAAGATAAAACCTTTTTCATAGGCACCTGATGGTGTTTTTATTGTTTTTCTAAGGTTGGTTAAACATGTTCATAATGACCAACTTTACAGCGTCCATCTAACATGTTCTTAATGTCCATCTAACACATTCCATCCATGCTAATCCATTGACCAGTTGGATCAGCTGAGTCTTGACACCAACTCCACCAATGGCGCCACCTCCATTGCATCCTTCGCACCCAACGCCTCCAACATCAAGCGCCAGCTGGGCAAGTTCAACCCCTTCCGTAAGAAGGGAAGTCACTCCAGCAATGGGGGAGAGGACGACGACCACAACAGTTCTGTCAGTGACGACGTGTCCAATGAATCTCAAGCTGACCTGAGAAAAAAGAAACATAATTATGAGAAGTAATTACATTTTCTTACCTGTTTATTTATTTTTATGTTTGTTTATTATTTATTAACAGATTCAAATTTTAAAATTTCCAAACCAAAATAAATAAGTATTAATATCTACTTTCTGGACTCACAAATTCAGCTTTACTTCGGTAGATTATGCAGATATTTCTTCTTGAATAAAATATATAAATAAGTCTTAGTTAAAATAAGAAGTTAGCCACAGGTATGAGATATATTTTTAAATGTTGTATGACATTTTCAAACATTACTGACTACTACAACCACTATTACTTTTTGTGTTTTAGGTGTTAAAATTTGTTTGTTTTGTAGGACAGATCCAATTTTTTCAATTGTTAAACCTATTATTGCTGTTTTCCAGGACTGACCCATTTTCTAATGGGATGGACTCAAGGCTGTCCATGGCAAAGATGAGGGAACAAGGACAGCTTGTGGTAGGTCTCCCACTTCCTTACATCTGTTGTTTGTCTCATGTTGATTTGTGGTAGGTCTCATGTTGATTTGTGGTAGGTCTCATGTTGATTTGTGGTAGGTCTCATGTTGATTTGTGGTAGGTCTCATGTTGGTTTGTGGTAGGTCTCATGTTGATATGTGGTAGGTCTCATGTTGATTTGTGGTAGGTCTCATGTTGATTTGTGGTAGGTCTCATGTTGATTTGTGGTAGGTCTCATGTTGATTTGTGGTAGGTCTCATGTTGATTTGTGGTAGGTCTCATGTTGATATGTGGTAGGTCTCATGTTGATTTGTGGTAGGTCTCATGTTGATTTGTGATAGGTCTCATGTTGATTTGTGGTAGGTCTCATGTTGATTTGTGGTAGGTCTCATGTTGATTTGTGATAGGTCTCATGTTGATTTGTGGTAGGTCTCATGTTGATTTGTGGTAGGTCTCATGTTGATTTGTGATAGGTCTCATGTTGATTTGTGGTAGGTCTCATGTTGGTTTGTGGTAGGTCTCATGTTGATTTGTGGTAGGTCTCATGTTGATTTGTGGTAGGTCTCATGTTGATTTGTGGTAGGTCTCATGTTGATTTGTGGTAGGTCTCATGTTGATTTGTGATAGGTCTCATGTTGATTTGTGGTAGGTCTCATGTTTATTTGTGGTAGGTCTCATGTTGATTTGTGGTAGGTCTCATGTTGATTTGTGGTAGGTCTCATGTTGATGTACTGTGCATAATCTTTGTGATGGATATTACTGATGTTGATTTCCCAACCCTAACACTTTTGTCCAGTTTACCTGCAAGTTTTTTCTATCATGGATGTTACATTTTGACCTTTGCATCCACAGGACATGGATGCCAATGAAGCCAAGTCACGTATCGCGGACGAGGAATGGTTCCACGGTGTCCTGCCCAGGGAGGAGGTTCAGAGGCTGCTGGTGAATGATGGGGACTTCTTGGTGCGTGAGTCCAAGAACAAGAAGACCAATGAGACGCAGTTTGTGTTGAGTGTCTACTGGGGCGGCCACAAGCATTTCATCATCCAGTTTGTCCAGGTTAGTGGTCAGTGGTGCTAGGTCTGTCTTGTGGATTTCTGGTGTGGCTCTAGGTCTGTCTTGTGGATTTCTGGTGTGGCTCTAGGTCTGTCTTGTGGATTTCTGGTGTGGCTCTAGGTCTGTCTTGTGGATTTCTGGTGTGGCTCTAGGTCTGTCTTGTGGATTTCTGGTGTGGCTCTAGGTCTGTCTTGTGGATTTCTGGTGTGGCTCTAGGTCTGTCTTGTGAATTTCTGGTGTGGCTCTAGGTCTGTCTTGTGGATTTCTGGTGTGGCTCTAGGTCTGTCTTGTGAATTTCTGGTGTGGCTCTAGGTCTGTCTTGTGGATTTCTGGTGTGGCTCTAGGTCTGTCTTGTGAATTTCTGGTGTGGCTCTAGGTCTGTCTTGTGGATTTCTGGTGTGGCTCTAGGTCTGTCTTGTGAATTTCTGGTGTGGCTCTAGGTCTGTCTTGTGAATTTCTGGTGTGGCTCTAGGTCTGTCTTGTGAATTTCTGGTGTGTTAGGCTGAGATTTTCTTTCATTAAATATGGCGATGCTTGTTAATTAACAAGCATTTATTTTAGTCATGTTTTCTTTCTACTTACTTACCAGTGTAACAAATAATATTTTTATCTATAATATCTATGCTAATGTATGGATCAATCTTAAACTTTACTGAAAGAAAGTATTTTTTAAAAAATTGATTTCAAGCTCTTAAAGGAAATACAGTGGTTAATTTTAAAGGAAATAAAGTGGTTAATCTTAAAGGAAATACAGTGGTTAATCTTAAAGGAAATAAAGTGGTTATTCTTATAGGAAATAAAGTGGTTAATCTTAAAGGAAATAAAGTGGTTTATCTTAACCCACAGGACAGAGGCTGGCACTTTGAAGGGCCGTCATACCCCACAATCCAGGAGCTGGTCAGACGCCAGTTTGACTCACACCTGCCAGTGACCACCAAGTCTGGCGCCATCTTGAAGAAGTACATCTGCCGGGAGTGGGAGCTGCTGAATGATGACATCGAGCTGACCATGAAGATAGGAACTGTGAGTGACCACACCCAGCTGGGCTGGCTGGTTTTGTTTATATTTTTTTCAAAGTTTATAACTATAGTGAGATGGGGGACTGGGGGGTTCAGTGCCTAGTGAGATGGGGGACTGGGGGGTTCAGTGCCTAGTGAGATGGGGGACTGGGGGGTTCAGTGCCTAGTGAGATGGGGGACTGGGGGGTTCAGTGCCTAGTGAGATGGGGGACTGGGGGGTTCAGTGCCTAGTGAGATGGGGGACTGGGGGGTTCAGTGGCTTAAGCTTAAAAGGTCCATAGATAGTTGGTCACCAATGAGACTTATAGAAAGTTGAAGGTCACTAATGAGACTGTTGTAGAAAGTTGAAGGTCACTAATGAGAGTATTATAGAAAGTTGAAGGTCACTAATGAGACTACTGTAGAAAGTTGAAGGTCACTCAAGTGACTGTATTGTTCCCCCAGGGTAACTTTGGCGAGGTGTACAAAGGTCTGTACAAGAAGACAACTGTGGTGGCTGTGAAAACCTGCAAGGACACGCTGACTGAAGACCAGAAGATCAAGTTCCTCCAGGAGGGGCGCATCCTCAAGCAGTACAAACACCCCAACATCGTGCGCTACATCGGCATCGCAGCACAGAAACAACCTGTTTACATTGTCATGGAGTTCATTCCAAGTAGGTTTTCTAAGATTTATACATAGTCATCTTCTAACTGACCTGGGACTGAAACCTCTGACTGTGTTAACCTCACCATTGTTTTACTCTGCCAGAAGGTGCCTGTTAATCTCTGACCACACCATTGTTTTACTCTGCCAGAAGGTGCCTGTTAATCTCTGACCACACCATTGTTTTACTCTGCCAGAAGGTGCCTGTTAATCTCTGACCACACCATTGTTTTACTCTGCCAGAAGGTGCCTGTTAATCTCTGACCACACCATTGTTTTACTTTGCCAGAAGGTGCCTGTTAATCTCTGACCTCACCATTGTTTTACTTTGCCAGAAGGTGCCTGTTAATCTCTGACCACACCATTGTTTTACTTTGCCAGAAGGTGCCTGTTAATCTCTGACCACACCATTGTTTTACTTTGCCAGAAGGTGCCTGTTAATCTCTGACCACACCATTGTTTTACTTTGCCAGAAGGTGCCTGTTAATCTCTGACCACACCATTGTTTTACTTTGCCAGAAGGTGCCCTTTAACCTCTAACCCCACCATTGTTTTACTTTGCCAGAAAGTGCCTGTTAACCTCTAACCCCACCATTGTTTTACTTTGCCAGAAAGTGCCTGTTAACCTCTGACCCCACCATTGTTTTACTTTTCCAGAAGGTGCCCTTCTTTCGTTCTTGAAATCTCAGGGAGCATCCCAGTCTGTCAAACAGTTGACCCAGATGTGCGCTGATGCTGCTAGTGGTATGGAGTACCTGGAAGGCAGGAATTGTATACACAGGTAGGTCGCAGGTCATTGGGTGTACACAGGTAGGTCACTGGGTGTACACAGGTAGGTCACTGGGTGTACACAGGTAGGTCACTGGGTGTACACAGGTAGGTCACTGGGTGTACACAGGTAGGTCACTGGGTGTACACAGGTAGGTCACTGGGTGTACACAGGAAGGTCACTGGGTGTACTCAGGTAGGTCAAAGTTGTATATGTAGGTCAGTATTGCTATACAAGTAGGTCAATGTTGTAGATAGTTAGGTCAGTATTGCTATACAATTATGTCAGTGATTTATACAGATAGGTTGTATTTGTAAAAAGGTCTTGTTGGTAACAAATATTTGAAACAATAAGACCATGACTAAACCACCTTGAGACCATGTATTAACCACCTTGAGACCGTGAGTTAACCACCTTAACATCATGAGTTAAGCACCTTGAAACCCTGACTTAACCATGCGCCACCAGACCATGAGTTTACCATGACCCACCAGACCATGACTTAACCATGCGCCACCATGTCCACAGAGATCTAGCTGCCAGGAACTGTCTTGTGGGAGAGAACAACGTCATCAAGATCTCAGACTTTGGCATGTCCAGGGAGGAGGCCGAGTACGTCGTCTCCACTGGCATGAAGCAGATCCCAGTCAAGTGGACGGCACCAGAGGCTTTAAATTTTGGTGAGAGGTCTTTGTTTGTCTCTTTGTTATTTATGGCTGGGAATATGAATTATTCATAAGTATTGATGACTAAAAGACAGTTGTATGCAAGATTAACCCCATTTTTGTTGTGCAGGTAAATACTCCTCTTATGTTTAATGTACACACCTCCTATGTTTAATGTACACACCTCCCATGTTTAATGTACACACCTCCCACGTTTAATACACACCTCCCACGTTTAATACACACCTCCCACGTTTAATACACACCTCCCACGTTTGTTGTACAGGTAAATACACCTCGCTGTGTGATGTCTGGAGCTTTGGTGTGTTGATGTGGGAGATCTTCTCCTGTGGCAAGTCACCGTACGCAGGGATGACCAACACAAGGGCCAGGGAGTGGATTGAAGAAGGTCAGTGGGGGATATGACATGTGACATGACACAAGACATGACAAGACATGACATGACGCAAGATATGATACAAGACAAGATATGACACATGACATGACACATGACATGACACGACAAGACATGACATGATGCAAGATATGATACAAGACAAGACATGACACATGGCATGACACAAGACATGACACATGACTTGACAAGATGACAAATGAATCAAATAGTAAAAAGAATTATAATAGTCAGGTTTTAAAAATAAAATTAATTACAAACAAAATTTAAACATTTAGAAAGTCAAAATGTATGGAATGTTGCATTGTCACCTGAGATACGAACATGAGAAAAGTTTTTTGTAAGATTTTGTCCAGACAAGTCAAGCTTGCTAAAAAAGATCACATTTACTAGCAATTTTTCACTACTTCTTACCGTACCAGTATTTAATCATGTACTTCATATAGCAACTCCTACTGATTCCTGTTATTTCCACAATTCCAGGTCATCGCCTGGATTCCCCACCCAACACACCTGATCAGGTGTACACCCTGATGCTCAAGTGCTGGGAATACAACGATGAAAGTCGGCCACAGTTCAAAGCCATACACAAAACATTGACAGACATCATTAAGAGATTATAACAGTAGACCAGCTCATTGTTTCTTGTGATACTGGTGGTCAAACTATGGTCATCTGCTGGTGGTCAAACTATGGTCATCTACTGGTGGTCAAACTATGGTCATCTGCTGGTGGTCAAACTATGGTCATCTGCTGTGGTACACGCTGGTACAACTGGTATTCTGCTGGTGATATTGCTCTGGTACTTGGGTAGAGATTCTGCAGTATTTTGCTGGTGATACTATCGTACTGCTGTGGTGATATTGTGGTATGTTGATGGTGCTATGCATGGCCAGTGTGTAATTCTGTTGGTCAAGTAACCAAATGTTTGGCCAAGTCTGGAGTGTTAGCTCTCTACACCACTCTAAAATGGACAGATTGCTGTATAGAATGATGGACATACACAGCTGAGCCACACAGATAGCTGGAGCAATAAGAATGTACAAAACAGATGTCTACAGTGTTTAGCCATGATGATAATGTGTTTGTTTGCTGCATGAAAACTGTAAATATTCTACACCTGGTGTAAAGTTTCCTTGATGTGGAGTTGTTTCCCATATGTAAATATTCTGAACCTGATGTCAAGTTATACTCCAAGGATTTTTATGTTGAAATTATTTCATGGATCTATTTATGGGGTGATACAATTGGGTGCTTGAAATTTTCTTTTAATATTTCACTTTGGCTGTGTCACAGCCATTCACTGGATACAGCCATTCACTGGATACAGCCATTCACTGGATACAGCCATTCACTGGATACAGCCATTCACTGGATACAGCCATTCACTGGATACAGCCATTCACTGGATACAGTCATTCACTGGATACAGCCATTTACTGGATACAGTCATTCACTGGATACACACATCGGCAGTTCCCTGGCTGTTTACAAGTCACTGGCTGCACACTGCCTGCGTACAGCTGCATTAGCTGCACACCACAGTACTGGCTACAGACAACAGTGCTGCCCTCAACAGTATATTACTGCCAGCACTGAACAAAACAGTCACTAGCTGTGTATGATGGCTTGCAGCTATGCAGCAGACTTTGTTTAGAGGAGACCTACACAACATGTATGTACTAAGTCACAACCTCCCCTCCCCCTCCTGTGTTTTCTGGCAACCAGTGGCTGGAATCTGACTTTTTTTCCCACTTATAGCTTTAATCCAACATGTGTGTTTGTCTGTTCCACGGTAATGATACATTTGTGAGGAATCAAATTTCTCTACTATGTTTTTCTGTCAAGTAGTTGTGGAATTTAACATGCATTATGTCCATAACTTAAATTTTATTCCCAGATAAGTGCACAAACAGAAAAATGTGTAAATACAAACTAATCACAGTAATACACTTTCATTTGATAATATTTCTAGGGCAAAAATTTATTATGCTACTATATGTGCATGCCGACATTCTTAGCTAACGTCTATAAATGACCGATTTAAATTCCCCTGCAAGCATTTTGTATGTAGCTTTCTATATATGGCACATTTTTTTCTGGCCAGCATTTAGTTTGGCAATTCATCAGTTTTAGTTTAAAAGTTGTCCTTTATTTAGTTTGGTAATTCATCAGTTTTAGTTTAGAAGTTGTCCTTTAGGATAATAATTTGTTTATGGATCTACAGCTTATTTGCAGGTTATATTTTTAAAGAAGTAGGTAGGGTATTTTTTTAAAAGTGATGAAATATGTATCTACCCTATTTCTGATGTGATCAGTGTTGATTTAAGTACAGCCTTGAAGCTTGACACAAGTCCCAATATCAATGTTAAGTTGAGTTCAGGTCCTGGGACTGTGGTTTTCTAGCCATTTTCTGTGAGCAAACTAATTTAAAGATGTCATTTAACTTTTAGCTAGCTGTAGTTTAAAACTGTTAGTTAGCTGTTAACTAACTGTAGTTAATGCTTTCTGCCAGCTAGTTGGTATCTGTAGTTGACAGGTGTTTAGTGCTGTTGGCTAGTGATTAGCTAATTAGTGTTTAGTGCTGTTGGCTAGTGATTAGCTAATTAGTGTTTAGTGCTGTTGGCTAGTGATTAGCTAATTAGTGTTTAGTGCTGTTGGCTAGTGATTAGCTAATTAGTGTTTAGTGCTGTTGGCTAGTGATTAGCTAATTAGTGCTGTTAGTTTGCTGTAGTTTATAATACCAGACAAAAGTAAGTTGAACCTGTTCTGTTACCGGTGTGTTTTGTGGGTGATCTCCCCTGTAGATCTGATCAGTGATGGTGCTGGGTCACTGGGGCGTGGTTACAAATATAAGAATACTAGCCACTAGCCTACAGAAACCCTCCACTGTTGCTGACATGCTGATTTGTATGCTGAAACCCTGTCCACTATTGTCTACTTACTTCCCTTGCTCCCATACAATGTGACATGTATGCCCTGCCAAGAGTTGTTTAACTCATTAACCCAGTAACCATGGTTACACACATACATGAACACGTTTTTTCTTAAATGTGAAGATGTTTACATGAAATTTTTCAGTATATTTGAATACTTTTAATTTTAAATGTCGACTAATATTTTGAAAGTTTTTATTCATAGTCTGGTTTTAATTTACAATTTCAATTTTTGCTATTTACTTTAAAAGCCTCCCTCCTTTATAAAAATATATTTGCCTGTAAATTTTAAACATGACAAAATGAGGTGTTTTTTTGTTACTCCATCTTCTATTGTGGAATGTACTGATGCAACTCTGGCTTTCTATACACTGCACAGCTTCACTTATACCTGCTAGCACGTAAATACTTCTCAGTAGTTTCAATACTGAATCATTTTAAACATATTTTATAAGACTTTATTCTTTACAAACTTTTGACTGCCTCTGTAAAAATAACAACTATTAAATGAGGTGCCTTGTTTTACTGGGTCTGGGGGGGGGGGGGGGGGGGGGGGGGGAGGAGGAAGGTGGTGGAGCTGCTTGAAACAGAAATGAGGGGTAAATGCAGAGATTATAAAGGGCAGCAAGAGCTCAGTGCACTATTCAAGTCCATCTGTGTCTGAACCAAGGACTAAAGAATAGATTCTCAGTGTGACCTACCCCACCCAGATTAGAATCCAGGCCCAATTAGAATTTCTAACAACTATCCCCATGTTTTCTAATTAATGAAATGCTAACTACCTTCTCAAACTTTTTTTAAAGCTTGCCTTATCAGTTTTACTTCTTAAATTGTCATCATTTTTTTTAAACTGTCACCTTTGAAAAAATGAACAAATCTTTATTGAACACAGCAATTGTGAATTGTGTTTTTTAAGTGATTTAAAATTTGAGTGCCTTTGTGTTATTTGAAGTGATGTATCAAGTATTGCTGTAATGTATCAAGTATTGTTGTAAAATTGATGTTTGACTTCCTGGTTTTTGTATATTGATCTCAGTGCAATGCCAAATGTTTTAGTTCTGGAACTTTCTAATTTCAAGTTGGCTCCATTACATCACCCTTACATCTTTTTAAATTAGAGTTATCATTTCTTATTCTAAAGCTTCAGAATTGTCATGATGCTAGCCCCTTGTTAGTTGGCCTTATTGTTATCATTGTTGAATACTAGCTAACTATTGGTTGTTAAAAATAAAGTGACTTATTATTGGTTACTAAAAATAAAGTGGAAGATTATTGGTTGTTGATAAGTCTGTAGCCAACCAGCTTGGCTATCTCTTAACACATTCTAATAATTCATGAAGGTAATGACATTCTAAACAAACAAGGAAACTTATTTTATATCATACAAATATTTTCTACATAAATTGTAGCCTTACAGATAGTCAAAATTGTTATAACCTGATTGAATAAGTGACTTAGGGATCCTTGAATATATTTGATTCAGGCCCAACATTACTCATAGAATCCCATCAATTTCTTGTGTGATCTCTTCTGTGTAGCCTACATCTCATATTTTAATGAATATTCTTTTTAAAGGGAAACAATCAACCCTGTAGAGTAATTTTTTTTAGACACTAGAATTGTTGCTTTAAAACATGGAATAAGAATTATTTTAACTTGTTATGCTGGAGTATTCATTATACCTTCCACGATTTCATCTTTCTGGGTCATATTTTTTTAATCTTTCCACTTTTTAAAATGTAAACCAATGCTGTTGTATAGAATCTAGTTATAAAAATGTATTCATATATAAATCATTTTAATACTTTTTAAATGGAATTTTTAAAATGTGGAATTGAAAACAATTTGCTTCTGGTCAGAAAATGGTTTTGTTAGCTTATTGTTTTATCCTTGTGTTAAATAAGTAGATACAAGAAGTATTTTGAAATGGTTCAATTAATTTGTGTTGATCTTACTGATACATGTCAGAATTTACATAAGTAGACATACACGTTAATTAAAAAGATTACAGAATTAGTTTTGCTGGTGTCCTGAATTTTTACTGGAACTTTGGTTTAATGTAAATTGAACAAATGACTGAATGTGCATTTTGTTATTACTTGTATCACTATTCATCATGTTAGAAGTTTTGTTTGGTTGGTGAATTAACTGGTGCTTTATGTGCAGCAAGCATATTTTGTGTTGCTAACATCTCATCATTTAAGTCAGGGGTCTCCAAACTACGGCCCGCGAGCTCCTCTCACCCGGCCCGCGGAGATCTTTTTGTCCACGGAAAAAAAACGTTTGTTGAAGTTGGCTGAGGAACTTGCTCAGAAAGTCACGACATGCCTGGAAGAAACTGGCCCCCGAACTGAAATTTGATAGTTAATGTGGCCCTTGGACTGAAAAGTTTGGAGACCCCTGATTTAAGTTTTCAATGGCAGTTTTAGTGTAACTTCCTGTAATGTTTCAGTACCAAAAAAATCTCATTTCTATCTGCGGTCATTCCCCCTCATTAATAAATAAGAGTTTATGCAAGTGTAATTAATTATTGTAATTAAGTATAAGTCATTATGCACATTTTTTGTGTCTATACATTTATATGTTGACAGTAGTGAAATAATTCACAGAATGAACCAAGTCATTTTTGTTGATTATGGAAGTAGAAAATCAGTTGTTTGATTATGGAGTGTAGAATATCAGTTGTTTATGGAGTGTTGAAAATCAGTAGCTGTTTTTTTTTTTAAATATATATATTTATGGTTACAACATAAAAGTTGCCTGAACTTTTTGTAAACTTGTGATAAAACCAGTGTAACAAATTCTGCAAATAACAGTTAAATATTTGTATTGCAACAATAACAGTTAAATATTTGTATTGCAACAATAACAGTTAAATATTTGTATTGCAACAATAACAGTTAAATATTTGTATTGCAACAATAACAGTTAAATATTTGTATTGCGTGAGTGTGCCAGGTGGCATGGTCCAATGTGCCAGGTGGTATATTAATGTGCCGGTTGGTACAGTCCAGTATTTGCTTTATGTTGGTTTGTCCTGAAGATTCTTATGATAGCAGTTTATGACAGTGTTTTGCTGTGGTGTGGTTGATTTATTTTTTTAAACTAATTTTCCTGCTCACATTTTTGTATTGGTATAGATGAGTGGGGTGAGAGAGGGTGGGGTGAGAGAGGGTTGGGCAAGTTGCCCCATGCAAACAAGTATTTAAAGGTGGCATTGTTACCTGGATACACATTGTGAGGGTGACCAATAGTTTTAGGTGTGCAGGTACCTGCCGCCACACATGAAACTATAGGTGGACTAGTTACCTCAGGCTACACCAGCAGCTAAAGGTGGGACAGAGTGTCTGCGTCACATGTGGGACCTTGTAACAGTGGCACATGAGTTTAAACATTTTTGATGCACAGCTATGAAACAGCAGTTAAAGTTTGTAAACAAAAAGATGAATTCATTTGTTTTATTAATAATTCAACATTTGTTAGTGATTCAATGGTAACATATTTATATTCATCATTTGTTAGTCATTATTAATTAATATCTTCATACCCATTGCAAAATCTTAACCACAGTTTTAGATATTTACGTTACTTTTGTTTTAAACAATCTTTATGTTTTACAAAATGCTTGACCAGTTTTTAACAATCATACTATTTTTATTTAATTATTTAAATACTATAAATAATCTGTTAATTTGTTATGTATCATTGGAGAAAGTTTAAATCCACTGTAAAACCTAATTTTTTGTAGTCTGATTAACCCTAGGCTAACCACTGAATAGAATGTTATTGTTGCGTTAATGGAAAGACTGGCTGTACAACTTGTAACCTTTACACTACTCTCCTTCAGCATGCTCAAGACTTGTTAATTTTAACTTATCACAAATCTTTGTTTTTCTTGCCCATTGTTTGATTCATGTACAGTTAAAAATAACCTGTAAACTAATGTGAGGGATGTGGCTAGGTTGGGGCATCATCGCTGCAAGTCACACTTTTCCTTCCTATCACTTATTTATCACATTTCTCTTGAATGGTTTCTGTTAGCTATATTTTGTTTTATTTTGTTTCTATCATTCTCACTAGATATTATGCCATTGAACAAAACTGATTGGAAAAAGGTTGTAGGACATACCCTAAGAATATTGTTCTTGTAATATATATATATATATATATATATATATATATATATATATATATATATATATATATATATATATATATATATATATATATATATATATATATATATATATATATATATATATATATATATATATATATATATATATATATATATATATATATATATAAACCTGTCTTACAAATAAATAATTTTAATTTTGATTAAATTATTTTTATTTCTTTTGTTTCATTTTAAAGTGACACTAAAGCAATCTGGATTGAAAGCCAAATACTATGGATCACAGTAAATTAACAACAACATAAGAGCTTTGTAAAAAGCAGAAAATATTTGAATGTAACATGCTGTATAAGTTCGTAGAAAAAAATCGTTGTAGCAGAAAAACAAATCAACATCATTTATTATAAATTAAGTTGCTTAAGAAACTTAACAGTCATTAAATTTGAGATTTCACTTTTAATAGTAAAGAGATAAACTTTTATTTTTCTTTGCACTGGGCCAGAAATACTTATTTTCTGAATCAAAGATTAGCTTTAGCTTTGAAATGTGGTGTTCCATAGGGAAAGATAACAATATTTGAATAGAGATTAGACTAGACTTGTGCTTTCTTGGACTAAGATGGTGTTCAAAAAAATTAATGAAATAAATTAATACACAGAAAAACCCAAACTTACTTCAAAAACAAATCATCACAGACTTTTTGGCTCATTTTCATTTTGTAAAGTAAACATACTTTTCATCTTAAAATAAACTTCCATGAAAAAGAGTTACATAATAGTATACATATTATTTAAAAAATAAAATTAATCTCGTTTATGCTAGGAGTATTGAAACTCTGTAACATATTTAAGGGCTGTGTGGCCTTACACTCGCTAGCACTGATAACATTCAGGGGCTTAAACTCAATACATTCAGGAAGTCTAGCACTGAATACATTCAGGGGCTTAAACTCAATACATTCAGGAAGTCTAGCACTGAATACATTCAGGGGCTTAAACTCAATACATTCAGGAAGTCTAGCACTGAATACATTCAGGGGCTTAAACTCAATACATTCAGGAAGTCTAGCACTGAATACATTCAGGGGCTTAAACTCAATACATTCAGGAAGTCTAGCACTGAATACATTCAGGGGCTTAAACTCAATACATTCAGCAAGTCTAGCACTGAATACATTCAGGGGCTTAAACTCAATTTACATTCAGGAAGTCTAGCACTGAATACATTCAGGGGCTTTAACTCAATACATTCAGGAAGTCTAGCACTGAATACATTCAGGGGCTTAAACTCAATTTACATTCAGGAAGTCTAGCACTGAATACATTCAGGGGCTTTAACTCAATACATTCAGGAAGTCTAGCACTGAATAGATTCAGGGGCTTAAACTCAATACATTCAGGAAGTCTAGCAATGAATACATTCAGGGGCTTAAACTCAATACATTCAGCAAGTCTAGCACTGAATAGATTCAGGGGCTTAAACTTAATACATTCAGGAAGTCTAGCACTGAATACATTCAGGGGCTTAAACTCAATACATTCAGCAAGTCTAGCACTGAATACATTCAGGGGCTTAAACTCAATACATTCAGGAAGTCTAGCACTGAATACATTCAGGGGCTTAAACTCAATTTACATTCAGGAAGTCTAGCACTGAATACATTCAGGGGCTTTAACTCAATACATTCAGGAAGTCTAGCACTGAATAGATTCAGGGGCTTAAACTCAATACATTCAGGAAGTCTAGCACTGAATACATTCAGGGGCTTAAACTCAATACATTCAGCAAGTCTAGCACTGAATACATTCAGGGGCTTAAACTCAATACATTCAGGAAGTCTAGCACTGAATACATTCAGGGGCTTAAACTCAATACATTCAGCAAGTCTAGCACTGAATACATTCAGGGGCTTAAACTCAATACATTCAGGAAGTCTAGCACTGAATACATTCAGGGGCTTAAACTCAATACATTCAGCAAGTCTAGCACTGAATACATTCAGGGGCTTAAACTCAATACATTCAGCAAGTCTAGCACTGAATACATTCAGGGGCTTAAACTCAATACATTCAGGAAGTCTAGCACTGAATACATTCAGGGGCTTAAACTCAATTTACATTCAGGAAGTCTAGCACTGAATACATTCAGGGGCTTAAACTCAATACATTCAGCAAGTCTAGCACTGAATACATTCAGGGGCTTAAACTCAATTTACATTCAGGAAGTCTAGCACTGAATACATTCAGGGGCTTTAACTCAATACATTCAGGAAGTCTAGCACTGAATAGATTCAGGGGCTTAAACTCAATACATTCAGGAAGTCTAGCACTGAATACATTCAGGGGCTTAAACTCAATACATTCAGCAAGTCTAGCACTGAATACATTCAGGGGCTTAAACTCAATACATTCAGGAAGTCTAGCACTGAATACATTCAGGGGCTTAAACTCAATACATTCAGCAAGTCTAGCACTGAATACATTCAGGGGCTTAAACTCAATACATTCAGGAAGTCTAGCACTGAATACATTCAGGGGCTTAAACTCAATACATTCAGGAAGTCTAGCACTGAGTACATTGTGGTAGAATCAAGTTTTCAGTTGGTGGGTTTGAGGGAGATGGACATGAATTATACAACATTTACAGTCCAAATACACCCTTTGAATTAAGTGCACAGATGGCGGGGGGAATGAGTGATACAGAAGCGTATAAACCAACATTGGAGAATGGCAGATTTTTAAGTAAATATAAATATGTTTTCAATTAATTATTTTGAAATTACAATAATTTGTATAGTATAAATTGCCATATAAAGAGATAAATAATTCCAAAAAAAAAAATATTTTTGGACTTGCATTCATGTTCAGTATCCCATAATATCTTCCCGTGCCAGCCACCATACAACGACCTACTTGGATGAATTGTTGCTACTGATCTCACTATCACTGTCAGTGTTAAAATCATAATATGGCACACACCTAGCCTGTGACCAAAGAGTTTGGAAATTTTTAAGACAATCAGCTGCTAAAGTTTCAGAAGAAATTTTGCCGGTGTCTGCAACAAAAAAAAAATAAAACAACAGTAAAATAAAGTACCAGCAATAACCAGAAGTCACACATGTGTATAAGAAAAGTTGAACTAATGTTTTGACCAGACATACTACAATGCTACTCATCAACATTTCAAATACATATTTTTATGAAAACATTTTATTTATAAATAAATTAATTTTAAACATTTTACCGGATTCTAGAAAAAGTGTCTGTAAATTTTCAACGGCTGCTTGCAAGCGTGTTATCTGTTTAATTAATTTAATTCATCATTGTTAAAAAATTATCAGTAGGAAAAAAAACAATAACTCATGCAATAAGTCTAATTAATGTGATTAAACCTTAATTTCTGTGTTTCCATTAACTGGTATCAATCAAAATTATTTTTGCTAATCCCAAAATGTGAGACCATGTGAAAATAGATTCGGTCAAATAGTGCGGACAGATAATTTTTTTTTAATGTCTGCTAGTAGCTAGCTAGTAAATAGAGCCCTTAAAACAACTGATGCTCTTTAGAAAGAGGATGTGTGATAGAGATGTGTGATTGAAACAGAAATCTTCAAGAGCGTGTAACAAGCAGTGGTTTATTACAATAAACATATTAGTTTACAAAAACTAGTTAAAAGTTGAAAGGTTAAGTAAATTGTCATTATATCCAGCTAGAAAAAGTTAGGTATATTAAAAGCTCTCTAATTTTAATGAAGTGTATAAATTAGTAGTAGGCACTGTGCATAACGCACTTATATATCAATTTAGTTTTTTTAAACTTGCGTCATGGTTTGATTTTGTAACATATACCCAATAAAAAATTTTAGGTTTATAAGAAACAAAAATATGTTGTAGAATAAATAGCAAAAAGCTATTTTATATAACATAGTAAAAGTATAGTTTTTAATAAATTAAAATTGGAAAGACGCAATTAAATATTATACAGAACTATATAAAAGAGTTTCACTTGTTTCCCCTACTTTTAATATCTGTTAAAGCCTGCATTGTTTCTGTATGTTTGGAGGGTAAGGACCCCCCCCCCCCCCCCCAGTTGTTAAATGTACACAGGACTTAGGCTGATGAGTTAAGCCACTGTGCAAGAGGTGCCATTTAGTTTTCCCAGATCAAATGTTAAGTACTAATTTCATCTAGGTTGGCTCAATGGCTTAGTTTGAATTTAATGAAATGTTGATAGCAATTTTGATAAAGACAAAAAAAAAATAATGATGTGACCCTGACATTGCTCTTGATGTCCTGTTGGTAGTCTCCCTTTTTCTCTAAGCTAGCTAGAGAATTTCTCAGCTTCTCAAGGGACTCTACTCTGTTCAACATAAGCCCCTTCATCATTTCATACTAGAAAATAGTTTTTCAAAGATTCATTATTGTTTTAATTTGTGCCGATTTAAATACTAAAATAAAACAGTCTAAAAAAACACAAACAAAAAATACTCTTTAACACCACTTTTGCAATTGTTACATGCATTGTTCGTCACTATAACTGAGCTTATTAATACTAATCTTAGAAACTTTGTAACATTGAAGTGGTGAGTTCTGACCTATACTCAGTATATTTACCTTCAATGTAAGAGAAGGGAACAATTAAAGGGAGGTAAGATGCTCTTGAATAATTTACTAGGTAGCTTGGATGACTTTTTTAAGCTATTTGTTTGAAAATTGGTAGTTAACTGGGGTCGGTGTGGTTGAGTCAGTAAAGCTCAAGGTTGCTAAACCAAAAAGTCTCGAGTTCGAACCCTCGGGCAGATGAGGCTCGTTAGCTGAGGACAGCCACTCTTCTAGGAGAGACAACTCCAAAATCAAACAACTACTGCCTTGTAGTTTTTTCTTGGTTGGACAAAGGCTATGGAAGCAAATACAAAAAGAAAAGCAGGCTGAAATCGAAGTCAATGGCCTCAATGGCGCATAACCAGTTGACACGTATCCTTAATTGTGTTGGAGGGGGTTCCCTTCTAACACTAAAATTAAGAACGAAGAAGAAGAAGGAAGTTGACTGTCCACATGTCTACAAAAGGCTACATGAGTTTGAAACATTTTTAGTAGAGAAATAAAACAATAACAAACTTTAAGTCCTATATCTCTGAGGGCTTTAACAACATGTTGGTGGTTCAGGTCTGTGTTAGGTGATATACTCAGGCTGGACCAAGCATTCTGGGTAAACAATACGCAACTTTTTTTTCACATCATTAATAAAAACATGCATAATGACGTCTCCTATCAAAATTTTAGAAACCACTTATTTTTTAAACTTCATCCATCTGATTAAGGTCTAGTTAACTAAAAAGTACCCACATTTTTTATCTTCTCGTTAAGGTGTGGTTAGCTAAAAGGTAAAAAGATTTTTTACCTGTTCATTATGATCTAGTTAACTAAAAAGTACCCACATTTTTTTACCTACTCATTAAGGTCTGGTTAGCTAAAAGGTAAAAAGATTTTTTACCTGTTCATTATGATCTAGTTAACTATAAAGTACCAACATTTTTTTACCTGTTCTGTTAAAAAATCTACACGTAATTTTTCAAGATCATCTTTAAGGCCCGCACATTTCTCCTTTGTGTCATCTGTATCAATCCAAAGTGCTTCAACGCCAAAACCCAGCTTTCCTATTTCTTCATCCAGTCTTCTCTTCTCACCATTTAGCTGAAATTTTTTTTTACATTGTTTGAACTATTACAGTGATGAAAATAATTATTCCTAAATTTGTGTAGGCTTATATTTTCTTATTTTGTTTTTTTTTAACACTCTTCGTTAATAAGTTTATTAATTATCAAATTTTTAATCAAGAATAATAATGTTTAAAATGATATTGATATATAGTTATAGCCATACCATAACAAATCCCTCTCTATCTTCAATCTCATCAATCTTTTCCCAGCATTGCTTGACATCGTATTCATTTTCTTCAACTTTTTCATTTATATCTGCCAACTGTTCCTCCACTAACTTCCTACCATAGTCAAACCCAAAGTTTAACTTTTTTTCTAATCTTTTTAATTTGCTGTGTATTCTTGTTTGTGTGTTAGAGTTTTGATGAATGGAAACCCACAAGGTATCAATTCTTTCTGTTATACGCCTGTGTCTATTCAACAAATCTTGTACATTTTTATCTTGTTGGTTTTGTTTGAGGGAAGACTGCTTTAGCCTTTGATTCATTTCAAACAATTCAGTTTTCAGGAATTTGATGTCAGCCCCACACTGTTCTACTTTAACTGCTGAAACAGCTTGCTCATTCCCTTCTCTCTGTTTCCTGAAGCTGCTAACAACTCTCTTGGCCGCGTTAGACAAAGTTAAATTGTTATCAACCTGATCTTTATCTAATGATTGCTTTTCTAAAGTTCTAATGTTGGATTTTATACTGTCAATGTCTTCCCTTTGTTTAGAGAGTTCAATCATTATTTCTGCTATCTGTCCCTTAATTCTCAGAAACTGCTCCTCCAGTTTAATATTCATGTCAGATTTCATCTGCAACATTTCTTTTTTTAATTTCCTCAACTCCACATGACTCTCCATTTTCACATCTATACTGTTATTGAAAGAAACGTTATCAGTTGAAATATCATATTTTTTTAAAGTGGTTTGAAAATTTACTAACTTGACAGTGTGGTAAGAAATGTTGGATATTATGTGGGGTGTGGTATGACAAACAGTACTGTATGTGTTGCCAATTATTACATGTATTGTAATCAGGATTAAAAGCTTGGCTTAGAGACAGAAAAAAAGGGTCAGGAAAAGGGTTAGGGCTAGTACCAGGGTTAGCTTTGATAAGATATGCCAGTTTTCCTAATTGACCTATATATGTATAATATGCCTATATATATATATATATATATATATATATATATATATATATATATATATATATATATATATATATAAATTATATATATGAATTATATATATATAAATTACATATATATAAATTATGTATAGGGCCTATATAATCTCTCTCTATATAAAGCAATGTTTGTCTGTCTGTCTTTTATGCATTACTACACCTTTCATCAGATTGCCATAATACTTTGCAAAGTTGTTGAGAATACTCTTGGTGAGGTTTCTGTGGGAAACAATTCACAGGGGTGGTGCCCCAGTTGGGCTTGATTTTTTTTTTGCGATATACGGTGTATAAAAATAAAAGTCAATTGTGGCTTGACACAGTTCATCCAATTACCATCAAACTTTGGGGAGTTGATTAGAACACTCCAGGGGAGATTTCTTAAAAAAACTTTTTTAATTTCACAAGGGCAGCACCCCTGGAGGGTGCGATTTTTCTCTATATACAGTATATTAAAAAAATGAAAGTTGGATGCAGTTTGACACTGTTCATCCGATTGCCATGAAGCTTTGGGGAGTTGATGAGAATACTCCTGAGAATTTTTCTGGGGGAAAAATTCAATTTCCCATGGGCTGTCCCTGGCAGAGTGAAATTTGGGGCGTTATAGTAATTCACTAACTTGAATCAGGCGCATTACGCAGGCGCTCAGCCAGGGTGGAATTTGGCGCCCCGGGCTATCCCGTAAGCGCTATGGCGCCTACCTTAGTTTTAATCAGTGTGATTGGGTTTTAGAGTCGTTCACTAAACATACTCAGACGCGTCCGACGGCACACCAGCAGGTGCTATTTGGCGCCCTGGGCCATCCTATGAGCACTATGGCCCCTAGGTTAGTTTTAAGGAGCACCCTACAATATTGATAAGGCGGCACACGACATTCAATAGTTAAGAGGAGCACACCTCTATGTCCCTGACACGTAGGCGGTCACCGAAGTGTGTTCTACCTCACTATAAGGCTTACATGCGGTAGTGTAGGTGAACCCGTGCCTCGATAAATATGATACCAGAACAGATATTGTGTTTACATATAAATAACTTAGTTTTAGAAAACAATATATATATATATATATATATATATATATATATATATATATATACACACACATGTGATATAATATATATAATTATATATACTTATATATATTTATATATAGACTAGCTAGCTAGAGTAACTGCAAGTAGTTAAGTAGTAAGTAGATCTCTATATTCTAGACCAGGGGTCTCCAAACTTTTCAGTCCGAGGGCCGCATTAACTATAAAATTTCAGTTCGGGGGCCAGTTTTTTCCAGGCATGTCTTTCATTTTTCTGGGAAAAGTTCCTCAGCAATCACAGACAAATGCTTTTTCCTTGGACAGAAAGATCTCAGCGGGCCGGATGAGGGGACTTTGCGGGCCGTAGTTTGGAGACCCCTGTTCTAGACTGACTCAGGACATGCGACATGACATAGATTGGCGTAGGTGTAGAATTATGTAATTGTAATATGTAGATCTAGCTAGATTGAATGGATGACAATCAATAAGGAGATGTAGATCTAGATTAGATGATCCATCTCCTAAATTAAGTACATTTACTAACTTATTATATACTTAGTATATATATATATATATATATATATATATATATATATATATATATATATATAAATATATATATATATATATAGGCCTATATATATATATATATATATATATATATATATAGGCCTATATATATATAATATATATATATATATATATATATATATATATATATATATATATATATATATATATATATATATATATATATATATAATATATTTATTTATATTATTAATATTAATATTTATTATATATTTATATTATATAGTATATAGGCCTAGCCGGGCTACTAGATCTAGGGCCTAGGCCTACTTACTTATTACTTAATTAAAATAATTAATTACTTAATACCAACTATTTATTATAGAATATAGCCAAGGCCTAGGTATTATTATTATACTTCTTTATAAATTAATCTTTATTGCTGCTAGCTAGAATCTAAAATCAATCTAGAATAGTCTTAATACAACGATACAATCACCAGATGATAGACTATGTAATATATAATATATATATAATATAATAACAACTTTTACGAACGTCAGCTGTGCTATTCAGTGTTAGAAAGCCCACTTTCACTTTTCGTTTACACGAACTGGATCACTTTTATTTTATTCAAAATCGATTACTTTTTATTTAACTAATTAAACATTTAGATGTATTATAAAAAAAACTGGAAATCGAAGCTTAGAATCTCGATAATCTATTAACAAATATTTTTTTTTACTATTCACAAATAACGATAATTCCACTTACGTTTTTTTAAAATTATAAGCTAAGCTAAAACTTGTTAGTCTAGTTAAATAGATCTATATTAAAAGAGTATCGATTCAATTCCAAGAAAGAAAAAAAATGAGGTCATGATCGGATATTGAATAGATCTAGACCTAGATCTGTTTTCGGTTGCTAACCTAAGACGCAGAGTTCACATATTTTAGTTTTCAATGTGAAGATAGACTAGTCTACTAAAAAGACATTGTTAAATTATATAATCACACAAGCTAGAATGATATATATAAGTATAAGCCCAAGTATAAGCCTTCGCTAAACAAGAAAGCAGATACATCATACATTAGTACTACGGTACTGTCCTATTCATGGGTCTCACCAAATGGCGTCACTATAGGTTGGGTGTCACCCATTATTCGGTAATTGATTTTTCTAAATGGTTTCACAGGCAGACACTGTTAAAAGCAGAGGCGTAGCGAGGGGGGGGGGGGCGGGGGTGTGTGGACCGCACCGGGTGACACCATTTAGGGGGGTGACACCAAAGCGAAAAATAGCAAAATATATAGAGAAAAATGATAATTCCACTTAAGTGATTAATTCGAGTGTAAATAGTCTTTTAAGAGGTGCAAATCGAAAGTTTGAGGGGGAGGGAGGGGGGTGCAAATCGAAAGTTTGAGGGGAGGGTGCAAATCGAAAATTGAAACTTTGTCCCCGGAAAGAGTTGCTACTACGCCTCTGGGGGATGACACCATTAAGTGCCGCACTGGGTGACACCCGACCTCGCTATGCAACTGGTTAAAAGTGTATATTTTCTATATAAATTCCATTTTGTTGGGGGGGGGGGGGGGGGCAGTAGACTTTCTATGGGGGGGGGGGCAGAGCCCCTCATAGAAGAAATGCCTGGAAGAAGCTCAATGTGACGCTACTAAGCATAAGCTTACTAACTAAAACTAAGCCTACTAGTAGTTAACCAAAGTTCAACAAATGGCTTAATAAGTAGGCTAAATAAAGTGAATGGCTAAAAGGATATTTGTGTACATAAATCTGTTGGTAGTGTAGGCCAATAATTGATGGTGGTGTGGAGAGGAAGTGACAGCGGATCACATCAAGTGACAGCTATTGGCGACAGTTTTTTCATGTGACTTTCTTCTTCTTCTTCTTAGTGTTGGTAGGAATTCTTTCTGATACAAGTATACGTGTCATCTGGTTATGATGCACCATTAGGCCACTGACAGATTTCAGCCTGCTTTTTGGATTTGCTTCTATAGCCTTTGTTTGATTTGGGATGAGTGGCTGTCCCCAGCTATTGAGCTTCATCTGCCAGAGGGTTCGAACTCGAGGCTTATCAGTTTAGCAACCATGAGCTTTACTGAGTCGACTATGCCCAGAGACTTTATACAGGCCAATACATATGTATATGTTTATAGATATATGCATATATATATATATATATATATATATATATATATATATATATATATATATATATATATATATATATATATATATATATATATATATATATATATATATGCATATAAATATATATATATATATATGCATATAAATATATATATATATATATATATATATATATATATATATATATATATATATATATATATATATACACACACACACAACTTTCTTCCTAAAGAGCAAAAACTTTAGTTCAACATGTATTTTGTGTGCACAGTACTGTGAAGTGCATACACAAGGGTGTAATATTTTACAAAATGTGCTGCAAGTTTTGAACCACTTGACAGTGGTCAATACTCTGAAGCCTGGTGTTTTGTCTGTAACATTTAACTCTACACCAACTTTTGATAAACAAGTTGGTGATCTTTGGTCTTTCACAGACCTAGATGAACTATATAAAACATTTAGCCATGTTAGCTTATACCACAATCGCTCCAATGACAAACACAGCCAAAGCACAGTTTCTGACACATTTTTTTATAGTTAGAAAAAAAATTAAACCAAAGGTAGTTCATCACATTTATTTACAGAATTGTCATATTTGTTTTTCAAAATACAATGATGTCATAAAAAGTAATGAAATGTTTTAATTTTAAAATCAAAACATTTGGTTTCTCCAATTTAGATGTTTGTAATGAAGAGAGAGAGAGAGAGAGAGAGAGCGAGAGAGAGAGAGAGAGATAGATGATGGCATTGAGAAAAGATAATGTAGAAAATGAAGATGTATGACCTAGATGTAACTTTAATTTTGTGTAACTATAGTAAGTATAAAAATACAAATGAACATTTCTTAAGTCCAGGCGACCAGATTGACTCAAACTGCCTTAAGACAGAATGCTGCATCAGTTTATTGTAGGACTTTATTGCACAAAGTAGCCTCAAATAAGTTGGGGAAAAAAACATAATTGGTTTCTCAGTTTTTCATTTTACAATATACATACAAAGTCTAGGGTTCAAAATTTTAAAGTATAATTATGTAGCCTATATGTCTACACAATTACCAATCTTTAGTCATCTGGTACAAGTTGTTTAAAATTAGGCCTATATGTACCATATATCTGGATCATCAACAGTATGTAAACAAAAAATGAGCATATTTTCAATCATACTTGATTTTAAATAAATATCTTAAGCTTTTTCTAATCCACAATTGTGTATAACCTAATATATAATTACTTCATTATGAGTAAAAATTATGAGTAAAATTATGTTAATTACTATCTTATTTTATTCTATTTATTTTCGGCTTATAACTATTCTTATTTTCTAATTTTTCTAAATGTTTCCACATGTGAGTCTTCTATGGTTGGTCCTGTTGATGGCCTCATTGCTCTAGTAAAACAACATTTAGATTACACATCCATCTTAAAAGATTTCTTAAACTTGGCATTCCAGTTCCTTATAATCATTCCATCTTAGTTCCTATACAGAAAAATGACAAGAAAAATGAATGTGGCAATCTCAGTGTGTTAGTGAACTTAATAACATGGAGTGATATTGCAAGGTAACATAATTAGAGTGTTTCAGTATCTATAGTTAGGTTTAGTTACTTGATATTTAGTCTCAATAGTTTTCAATAGTTAAATAGACATAAGAACTGCCCCATTATGAGGTAGGCCTAATTGTTTTTAAAGATAATAATTTATATGTACAATAAAAATATTTGTAAAACATAACGAGCTTTCTCTACATACATAATACTAATAAAGGGCTAATAATATTAGCTTTACTGGAATAAGTCCTAGTAAAAGAGTAGCTACAAGAAATTCATCTCAATCTAACATTTTACCTCAACAGAACAGTGCTTGTATTCTTTCATTATTGTTATACAATGTAAGGAAGTTTGGTAGAGAGTGGTGACACCATGCCTAATCATTATGTCTTCTCCTGGTGTAGCCTGATATGGTACAGTAGCTGATTTTACAAGAGGAAATTTTCTGCGAAGTCGCAGACAATATTCCCATCTCAGCTCCTGAAAAAAAAACTTTAACTTGTATTTATTTTGATTGGTCAAAATAAAAAGTTGGTATTGTGGCTTTTTAAATTAATCCACAACTTTGTAGAACACATTATGTTAGGGTGCATTAGTTGCATGTATTATTTGGTGATGAGATTATTTGTTTCTTGATAGATTTGTGTGTGAGTGTATAGTTGTTTAGTGGTTGAAGTTGGAAAGAGTACACTAATTCTAGTTAGTCTTTGTCTTGTAGGTGGCAGCTTTTGTCTTATAAGAATGAACATTTACCCAGAAATGTTCACTAGTTGATAGTGAGTCTTATTCAAGATGCCATTCAGAAAGGTTGAGTCAGTCATAGAGTAAGGACGTCTGGCTTTAATGCTAGATTATTCATGTTTTTCAAGCAAATTAAAAAAATCTTTTAATTAAACACAATAAGCAATCACAAGCAATAAATAATTTATTTATGTATAATTGATCAGATTCATTTTATTTCCAGTCAAATTCTGTGTTTTCAGTAGTTTTAAAGTTATTTCAAGCAAAACAAACTGAGTTAAATCCAGAAACCAATGTCAACTTTAAGTACGTAGCTTGTAAAATCTGTTTAATTCTCTTAATATGATCTTAAGGAAAAGGACAATATATTTTATCTGCACATTAAACTTTGAATCATTAAATCTCAAAATTATCGCTTTTTAAAATTATTTTTTATTTAGTTCACAATGTCTGTTTGTTTGTTTATGGGCTGTGGCAAATCTTTTAACTCAATTTCAACCAACTTCTAAAGAAGCGATTTTGTTCTAAGTTTCCAGATACTCTCATCTCCGGAGACAATGCAAGAATATCTATTATTTAATATAATTATAATTAGGCATTAAGTTAGTCATTAAAAAAATTATTAAAATTACAGAATTTGATAATAAAAAGGGAGATAACAAGTTTTTTTTTTTTTTTTGCCGATGTGTGATTATTTTTGCCTGAGCATAAACTACAAACTAAGAAGAACCATTTATTAATAAGCTTGTAAAAGCTCTGGAAATAAGACTGCCTCTCATGTTATCTCTTACAAATTTTTAGCATCCAATCTATATACTACTAAAAGTCAAGTTTGTTTACATGTTTGAATATTTATTTTTTTGTTTTTTTGTTTGTTTGTTTGTTTGCCTGATTGACTATCTCGCATGGTTGCACTCATCGTGGAAAGCTGTAAAATAGTATGTAGGTAGAGAAAAATTTTTGTTTTAAGACAGACTGTTAATCACACATTTATTTAAAGACGTTAATTAATTTATTGATTTATTCATACGCAGAGTAACCCATTTTTTTTAAAAAGTTTAGAACGACCACTACACTCGGCGGGACCGTGACGTCACAGTTTTTTGTTTACTCTTTAGTACAATAAAATGGCGGCGTCTATCGAAGAAAATTGTGTTCCCATTCAAAAGTTTAACACGTTCTAAATCTAATTTTCTGTCGGTCATAACTTTAACAATACGTCCGTTTGCTGTATTTATTACGTTCCAACACTTATATCAATTTTAAACTGTCTTTTTTCATTTAGTTTTACAATAAATTTCTCTAGATCTAAAGATCAGCTGTCGAAGGAAAGTTATGAATCTAGCCTAGATCTAGATCTAGCCTAGATCTAGGTCACTAGACTCAATGTAAATTCTAGATCTAGACTTAATGTAAATTCTACATCTAGAATCTATTTCAGGCCTTAATACATCTAGAATCTATTTCAGGCCTTAATTATTTTATATAAATCTTTGTTTGGCTAATTTAAGATAAAATTTAATTTGAAAGTTACTAGATTTTACTACTAGACTTAGATCTAGATCTATGCGCGGAGACTCAAAAGTATAGTATAAAAATTCATTTGTGACGTCACGAGTAAATAGCTAAGTTTGTAGCGTAGTCCGCTCTCATGCGGGTGGTACAGGTTCTAGACCAATATGTCAATGATATTTTTTTTCAATTTTTTTTTTTTTTTTAGATGTGAATGATAAAGTTGCCTATCTGAACTTGGCAGGATACAGGGCAGGTGAAGTAGAGTTCATCTGTTTCTTTGTCCTAAGCATATGAAAGGATAGTGTGGTCAGAGACATGCTCGGCTGGAATCGTTTTTTAAACAATAAAAACATGTTGTCTGAGACTTGGCGGGACACTGGGCAGGTGAAGTAGAGTTGAGTAGGTCACATGTGACGTCAGTATATGAAGGGATAGTCCGAAATCGGTGTTTTCGGTGTTTTTAAAAGATAAGAAACATATTTTTGAATGTGGGGTCTGTTTTTGTGACGATAAGTGACACTGCAGTAGCGTAGCGAGGAGGGGGGGGGGGGCGGGAGGGGAGGCGGGGGGGGGGGGGAAGGGGAGGCGGGAGGAGGTGGAGGGGGGGGGCGGGGGGGACATATGTTGGGCCGCCAAAATGGTTTGGAAAAAAAATTGAAAGGTTGAGGGGGGTTCAAATCGAAAGTTTGAGTGGGGGGGGGGGGGTGCACATCAAATGTTTGAGGGGGGGGGGGTTGAAAATCGAAATCTTGGGGGGGGGGGGGTAAAATCGAAAAGTTTGTGCCCGGGCGCCGGGAAGGGTCACTATGCCTCTGAGTGACAGACGTGATGTTTTTTGATGGATGACCCCCGAAACCCACAGTTATCCAACGGATGACGGGTATTCTAGTGCTTTATTAAAAGAGTCCAAGTTTGTTTTATTTTCTTATTTTTGGTGCATTTAATTTTAAAAGCTTTTTATTATAAAAGCTTTTTACATTTGTTTCATCATGATTTTTAAATAGTAACATATTACAGAAATATTCAAACAACTTCTCAATCTCCTACCTCAAAAGATTTATCTTCCAGGGCTCCTGGTAAAGAAATTTTGCCAACCATATTTCCACATGTAGACTGCATTGTCGTGCTGGTACATGGGTCACTTGCAGCAACATTAGTCTCATTTGTTTCATGGAAGCTTTTGAGGGACTCTATTAATTATTTATAAAATATTATCTATGAAAATTCGAGGCTGATATTTTATATTTTAAAAAAGCAACAATTTATTTTCATTAAATTAGCTAAACTTTAAAAAATAATAAATAAAACAGACATGCTTTAAAATTAAATGTGCTCTTACCTGAATCTAAATACAATTCTTGAAAATCATCAACACTTGCATTCAAATATTCAAGCTGGCCAGTAAAACAATTTTTAAAAATCAGTGCAATTCTAAATAATAAATTATATGATACAATCCTGTAAGCCCCTGAGGAGCTAAGGGCTGCAGCTACATCTCTCCACCAGAAGTTTTTGGGCAGATCTCTTTAGAACAGCCCATGTAAGCCCTTGCTTCTTCTTCCACAGTAGCCTACTGCTGGATTGCTTAGGCTAAGCCAACCCATTTCTCTCTTCCCTGAGAGTTACAGTGCCATTGCTTGGCTAGCTAGGTCAGCCCATTTCTCTCTTCCCTGAGGGTTACAGTGCCTGCCTCACTATCTTAACATCTCTTCCTTATCCCCATAAATTTTATGACAATGTAAAGACAATTTAAAAAAAAAGAATGAAACTGTTTTCACCTTGAGCTTAAGTTGTTTATTTAAAATATAAGTAAATAGAAATCTTGACCCCTACCCATCTGCAGATAATAATTCCACATTTAAATTTATAATTTGAAATAGTGTATGCTATGTATATATATAGAGAAATATTAAAAAATTGATTCAATATTGTTAAAATAAAAACAAAATTTATTATTATTAGTTGCAATATTCAAACTCTGATTATTAAATTCTACCAGAATATGCAAAGCAAATTCAACATTTTAATAAAGAAAGGAAACTTACTTTTAATCTTTTTTTCTTTGGAGCTTCTGTCTTTTCAGCTTCTGTCTGAATTCCATCAGAAAGTACTTTTAAGCGAAGATCCTAGAAAATATTACACATTACATTCATGTGAAGAGAACAATATGGATGCTCTTACCATCATCTGCTTACAGCCCATTTGACAAAGAAAAATTAGTTTAACAGTTCATCATCATGTTTTCAATGTATAACAAAAACACCATATGCAAAACAATATAAACTGTTCAGATTGATAAAATGTAAACCTACAATGTTTTTCTTGGAATTGTTATTTTTAAATATTATATAGTTTAATTGTTTTAAGTATAATGAAGTTGGTGCAATTAAAGTTGTTTTTTTAGGATTTATTTAAAGTAAAACATTTTATAATTTATATTATTGTAAATAGGATTCAATTGATGAGTGTTCAACCTTAAAATAATTCATTTTAAAAACATTACATAGTGAAGCCTACCAGATTCAATGCTTCTTTATCCTCAAGATTGTCGATTTTAATCAAACATTGATCAATTTCACATTTGTTTTCATCTATTTTTTCCTTTATTGATTTCAGGGCTTCATAAAACGGTTTTCTTTCATTTTTTAGATTTAGGTTAAACAGTTTCTCTAATTTCTTAAACTGAATGTGTGTTTTCTTATTCATGACAGAATACTGATTGTGCATTTTAGATATTTTTTCTAGAATAAAGTCTGTGTTACATGCAAGTTTCATCTTATTAATACATTTCTCCTGTTCACACAGTTTGAAGGAAAGTTGTCTTATTTCCTTTTCCACTTCAGGTAAAGAAGTTTGAGATTTTATTTCAATTTGGCAATTGCACTGATTATTATTGTTGTGTGAATTTTCTTGAACTGATGAAATGATTTGCTTAGTTTTCAAACCTTCCTTGGGAGTCCTTTCTGAAGAAGTGCATTCCCTTGTTGCTACAAGTGTTTTGATGTTTATAATGTCTTCTCCCTGTTTAGAAAGTTTATTCATGATCTCCGACAGCTGACTTTTAATATTTATAAACTCATCTTCCAGTTTTAAATTGATGAAACTTTTCATTTCTGACATTTCTTTTTTCAATTCAGCCAACTCCACCTCTAGTTGATGAACCATATTGAAGCCTATTAATTTGATATTGTGAGCTGAAATTGAATGCCATTTTAGTGTATAGGTGTGTGTGGTAGGGGGGGGAGCAGGGGCGTAGCGAGGGGGGGGGGGGCGGGGGGTGCAGACCGCACCGGGTGACACCATTTAGGGGGGGGGGGTGGTGACACCAAGGCAAAAAATAGCAAAATATATAGAGAAAAACTTGAGGGGGGGGGTGCAAATCGAACTTGAAAGTTTGTCCCCGGGAAGGGTCGCTACGCCTCTGGGGGGTGACACCATTAAGTGCCGCACCGGGTGACACCCGACCTCACTACGCCACTGGGGGGGGGGGGGGGGAGTGTCTGATTTTTTTCTGATTTAGTTGGGAAGTTACCCTTTTGAACCTAGTGGACCATGTGGAAGGTGAAGTAGAATTCATTTATTTCTGTGACAGTGTTTCTTTCATACTTTTTTCTCCAGGGGGGGGGGGGGCAGACTAAATTTTCTATCAGATCTAGATCTAGTAAGTTTTAGTCTAGATTAATCTAGAATTCTAGATCTATAACAGTATTACTAATCTAATACTCTATTATACTCTCTATACTCTATTGTCTATATAGATACTATTCAGAAGCGTAGCGACCCTTCCCGGCGCCCGGGGACAAACTTTTCGATTTGCACCCCCTCCCCCCTTGATTTGCACCCCCCTCGAGATTTCCATTTGCACGCCCCCCCCCCCCCCCTCGAGATTTCCATTTGCACCCCCTCCCCTCGAGATTTCGATTTGCACCCCCCTTAACCTTTCAATTTATTTTTCCAACCCATTTTGGCGCCCCCTAAGGTCGGCGCACGGGGACATATGTCCCCCCCCCCTCGCTACTGATACTATTCATTATGTATGTAGATCTGATATGTATTGAATCGTAGTAGTAGATACTACTAGTTACTAGATACTAGATCTACTACTAACTAAATGAATATTTATTAGATTTAATAAAAAATATATATATACAAATAATAATAATATAATTATTAGATTATAAGTCTAAGATTCTTGATTTGGCACCAACAATAATTAACAATATTATTTTTATTAGATCTAGATCTAGTACATTTACAATTATAGATGGTGAATCGGTAGATGTTATCTGTAGTACAACTCTCTACTTTTAGTACTTTGTTAGACTAGTAGTATCGTAGTCAAATTTTAGTTTTTAGCTTACCTGGTTAGTAAAAAACTAAAAATGTCAAAAAGTTACAGTAAACGTAATTTTTAAAATGGAGGAAAGCTATCTTAATACTTAAAAGCTTAGTAGCAGGCATTTTAGTAAAGATTTTTTTTTTTAAAATGAGAGAGAAACAGGAAATGTTGAGAGGTGTCATGCTTCAAGTTCAAGGAAATGTCAGTCAGATATAAAATGGTGGGGTGAGGGTGTAGTGAGTAGTGTAAAATAAATACGTCTTTCGTGTCGATGGTGGAGCCAGTGTTTCTTCCAGTCTTTTCTCCGGGAAGGGGGGGGGGGGCGACTAAAATTCCGGGGGAGGGGGGGGGGGCGGACACTGTTAAAAGTATATACCCCCGAAGAGATGCCTAGAAGAAACAATGTTGAGCAGTGGTGGATTAAGGGGGGGGGGGGGGGGGAAGGGTCATTACGACAAAATGGTCAGACAAATTTGAGTTGTACCACACGAAAAAAAAAGTTCACCCCTCCCCTCCCGTGTTAACAGCAGCTGTCGTCGCTTTGGCTCAGACTTTTATAAAGTGACGCTCCTTTAAAAAATAGAAATGTTATTTCTGACACACAAAAGGGTATTAGAAAAAAAAAGTACCGAATATTGTCAAAACAGTCTAGAAATACAAAAATACTAGATCTATTTACTTCAATAATTGTGTTAATGATTGATACGTCCAATCGCTAACAAAATAAAGCAGGAGAGATCTACCTTAAGGCTTAAACTTTTTCGAACACAACGAGGGATGGCACATCGGGATATAGACATGATTTTTAACCCTTTCCCCGGCGACTGGGTGTAATAGACCCGAAGTCGCTATATTTTTGCTCATATCTTGAGTCTCGTTTTATAAATTTTTCTGGGCCTCATTCCCATCTATAAGGTGGTTGGGGTCGACACATTGGAGGTTGTAAATTTTAAAAATATGCGTAAAAAACTTTTTTATGAGGGTTTGAAATTTTTTTATACGGTCCCTGGCAACTGGGAGCTACACACCCGTACACAATTTTGAATGGAAAAAATATTTATAACTTATAAACTGACTTCTAAGTATTTGTTTTTACTCATTGTGGGTTAAGTCATTGTGTTACATTTTCAAAGTTTAACTATAAATTAACAATCTGAAGGTATTTGAGTAACAAAAATATCAAACAGATTGAAGTAATCAACTTTAGTAACAAAATAATAGAACATTAACATGTTTTAATAATTTGCACCTCAGAGAGCACAGTTGTTAGTTAAAATTAAAATAACTGGACATTTCCTTTTGCTGGCAGGGAACTTTAGTTTTTTTTTTAATAAAATATGGGCACCCTTTTAGTGGTGTTACATGAGTCACAGGTCCAAAATATTTTAATTCCATACTTATCGGAATAGCTTGGTATGTATTGGATAAATCTACTCCCACCTCTAAAATCAACCACTTGCTAATTAGTAATGATCTCTCCAGAAACATAACAGCTTTCTAAATTTGAATGGAATATCTACCATAACGGAAGCAAATATACCATGAGCCTGATGGACTGTTAGTGTTATTGTTGTGAAGTGAATATGACCCAGAAGGTTGCTGAATTTCTTCATAGAAAATTCTGCCTTTAAAAACTTCCATAAGGAGAACTGAATTGACATACAACTAAATTGTTATTCTGCAGAGTGCCAGTGTCTCCTCTTGCTTTCTCTCCATCCCTGCTAATTCAGTCAAAAATTGGTTGTATTATTTTTGTATTCATGCACAGAAGAAATATTTAGGGTCAGGCTGTTTATAAATTTCTTGGGATTAGCACTTCAGGCAGTGGTCTAGTGTACTGTTACTTTGTCTTTCCTGAAAATATTTCTTTTTCTTCACTTTGCACCAGCCGTTTCATTTCATTATGAGTCACAACTGTTGACACATTATTGATAGTTGAAATGCAGTATATTGGGTAGACCTCGTCAACAGAGCTGCTTGATACTGATGGCTGCCATTCTTCATCTTCTAACTCTGATACTGATAGTTCAGACTCAAAAACAAAACTTGGTCATTTTCACCTGCTATACTAAAACTGGCAAATATATTCCTTTATCATTAGCACTTGAGTTTAGACAAAAGCGTTCAAGACTTGTTTCTGTTGTGTTCTCAATAACGTTTGTGACTATTTCTAAACCTTACTCTCAGTGTCACAACCTGTAGAACACCCACCCCACTCCCAGTTTGATCAATTCATTGCCCAGTATCAACTTTCGAGCAGCATTACAAAGTTTTTTTGCCTTTTTGTCCTCATTCGTACTCCTAATGATGAGGTTAATGTCAAGTTACTCTACAAGGCTCGAATGTCTCTATCTACATTCCAGAGCTCCCTAAAAGAGTACAAATCACTATATATGTCCTCCCACAGGCAATCGTATCCCTGCATTTCATTAACCTATTGTAACTCTAAACTACAGTTCTGTCTGTAACTGCAAGTCAGAGCTCCAGCAAAGAGTATAAATCGCTAAATGTGTCCACCCACAGGTTAACTCTTGCTTGAGAATCCCATCAACCACTAGTATCATATTACAGCTCTCCCATTGACAACAACATGTCTTGTGTTCCCCATGGCCACAATGCCCTGAATACCTCAACTGTGTCAGTATTGTTACCCACCCCACAATGAACAAAGAAAAGAATTTACTATAAGTAAGTCTTTGGGTGTGATCCACCCAGTTGCCGGGGACAGGGTACCAAATATGTTGCCGGGGAAAGGGTTAAACAATTTTTAATTTCTTAACTTTTAAAAATAGAATAGAATATTGTAGAAAAAAGAATTGCACACCAAGTGGGCACCAAACAAAGTATGTTGCTCTGCTGTATTTGGTTGGAAAATGTTTTTTAGTTCATTAAATGATGCCGGAATCTTTGCGCTTGGAAGAAAAATGCTAGTGCTGCCATTTGACAAAAATGAAAAAAAAAACAACCTTTTTACTTGTAGCTAAGGCAGGAGGAGGAGAGGCAGACCAAGAAAGACCTGGAGACGTGACCTGGAAGAAGACACCAAAAGATTGGATACACCTGGGGACAGTTGGAGAGACTAGCCCTGGACAGTACAGAGACGTCTGGAAAGCTCTTGTCAGCGGCCTATGTCCCAGTAGGGACGACAGGCAAACGTAACGTAACTTGTAGCTGTTGGGAATTCATACATGCATTGATTGTAGCTATATACCAATATACCATGGAGATAAGTTTATGCGCATTTTTCAGCGATATCTGCGAGGTCCTGGAATGCTCTTGTAATAACCTCGGTTTGTCAAGACATCAAAATGTAGACGAGCGGTAAAACTGCAGTTTTCGTAACCTACTGCGGCATGAATGGAGTAGATGTGTAGGAAAATGTTAGGAGCGGTTTTAGAAGTACCATCCATTATCCAGTACACAGCACCACCAAACTTTTCTGTGTTTATTTCAGTTGAAAATATAAACAGCTTGTTGTTTAATTGAGCTTTCCTTTTACTTGTAGTCCAGTCAAGGCACGATATCAGTCTGCTTCATTTGGTTTCTTTCTTTCTTTTTCCTAAATATGGTGGTAACGCCACCTGTCTGTTTATCCTTTGTACACTCCTGTCATCTACAGCAGTGTTTCTTCCAGTCAGGCATTTCTTCTACCCCCCCCCCCCCCCCCCGAACGAAATGGATAGCAACTAGAGCCTTATTTTGATGGTTTTGATAGAAGCTATGCAGTAACACATATTTTGAGATATTAGTATTTTTATGTTTGTCGGCACTACGTTTTTAAAAGGTAAGAAGTATGTTTTGAATGTCTGTTATTCGAAGCAAAAATGTTTTATGTTCCAAATTAATAAGAATTAAATTAAACCGAACTTAGAAGCAGAGATAAACAAAGACATGGTGTGATTTTTCTCAAAAGTATTTGACCATTAACTCGTTAACAGTGGCGAATAAAACGGGGGAGCGTGAACAGTAGGCCCAAATTTTAGTTGCCACAATTTTCACTTTTCTATACTTCTGTGGGATGTTGTAGTGTTCCCGTGCTAAACATCTGTGTGATGTTACCTCGCTAAACATCTGTGTGATGATGTGTTGGCTATTTTCTTGTCAAAGTGAGTACATTCATAGCTCACAAAAAGTGTCTTTGCTAACCAGGTGTAGTACCCCCTTCTGGCACTGAGGCAAACTATTAATTTTTCCCCTCGCCCCAATTTTTATGAGTTTCTTACCACGCCCTGTGTGATTTAACTCACATCCAATCAATGTAGACAAAAGTCAGTTTGTAAAGCAAAGTAATAATCTATTCTAAATAATGCAGCTCAGAACCCCCCTTAAACCCTTCTCATCTTCCAGGATCGACCGCCACACTCCCCTCCGCTAGCTTTTATTAATTGATGGAAACTTGTGTAAAGGGACATTTAACTTTACACAAATGTAGAAATGTTTCAGAGTTTAAATAATTGTATAGTTAAATAATTGTATTTAGAAGCTACACCTATTTAATGTGTATATTTTTTTTAGCTCTTCTGCTCCAATAAAACCCATGCTGTATAGGACCACTGTGTAGCTAACACTAAGTAGACCTACCCATTGCAGAGGCGTAGCGACCCTTCCCGGCGCCCGGGGACATACTTTCAATTTGGCGCCCCCCTCGGGAGCAAATTTTCGATTTGCACCCCCCCCCTCAAACTTTCGATTTGGCGCCCCCCTAAGGTCGGCGCCCGGGGACATATGTCCCCCCCCCCCCCCGCTACGCCTCTGACCCATTGTTATAAAATAAAGTTTCCCTTTCAAACCTGAAGGTCTATGGGGCAAGTGAAGTCGAGTTCACTTGTTTCTGTGACCTCGGCATATGAAGAGATAGTGTGGTCAGCACTATGCCCAGCCGCCTTTACTTTCCCTAACGTGAGTTAGGTACCCATCAGAGTTGGGTGGACTCAGGGACGGTCTACTGACTTGAACCCGGATTCAAACTCGAGACTTACGGGTTAGCAGTCCAGCTCTCTACCACTAGACAACTCCGTCCCATTGTTATAAAGTAATGTTGCAGTATTTGCTAAATAAAACTAATTACATTTTTAGTCATAATTTAACAGTATAAAAATCTTCAACTAACTTTGAGATTAATAATTACAAGAGAAACATTTGGTTTATTATTATTTTGCTTATGTTTTATGTTAGTATTATTTATTTTTTAAATTTTCTTGACTTTTCAATAAGTCAATAAGTGATTTTCGTGGTTTTTCAGTGGCTGATGGTAATGATGATTTACTAGCTACACAAACAATGCTTGTTTGAGACGGGTTATCCTTGTAGACCAAGTCAAAAGGATTCTTTTAGTTCTTTTTAACTTTGCTAAATTGGTTATCCTTGTCAAAAGGATTCTGTTTAACTTTGCTAAACTGGTTATCCATGTCAAAAGGGTTCTTTCTAACTTTGCTATCCAATTCCTCATAATCAGTCCATCTAAGTTCCTGTAGTGAAAATAAAAAAAAAAATGTATAATATGAAAAGTAATTGAAAATTGAAATGAAATAGGTAGAGAGGATGTGTTATTGTTTAGCCTGTTGATCACAGTAATTAGGTACAGAGCTTTACCTGTTAGAAAAAAAAATCACGCCCCTACTGGCAACAATAACACCACCCATTTTAAAATTTCCAGATGTCTTAACTGAGGTGGTGAGTAGGGGATCAGAACATGAACAAATAAATGCAGCAACACTAGAATAAAACCCTATCGCTCACAACAACGATAGTGTGTGGGACTGTATTGTGGTTGGCAAATATAGAAAGGACCAACAACTTTCATTGTTCTGACTTAAGTTACACAAGTAAGCCATGGTCATCTGCATCTATCTCAGATACTACACAAACAAGTCATGGGCAGCTGGATAACAAGTATCTATCTCAGATAAAAGGATAAAACCTAACACACTGTGCTCTTCTAAATGTTATACCTCCAAGGAAAACTGTTCATATTCTGCCATGGCTGTTACACATTGATGGGAAGTTGAATAACTCATGATTGCACCAGCCATCATAGCAGTATCTTTTCCTTGTGGGCTCTTAAATGATACTGTCATAGCTTTTGATTTAATAATTGGAAATATTCTATAAATTGAAAGAAAAAATTCGTATCGTAGCTCCTGAAAGAAAACAAAAGAAAGAACATTTTTATTTAGATTGTGTCGAATGACAGAATGCACAAATAAAACCATTTTCTCTCCAAAACTTGCCCCAACCATACAGAAAACATTATCTAATTCATTAAACAAGATAGGTAATATAATACTGAGTAATTATAAACTGAAAAATAATCTTAACTTTTAAAATTCCTACTTAAGACTTAAGCATCATTTAATCCTAAACATAAAAAGCAAAAATTTTTGCTAAGCAGTGAGAAAAACTCAAAGTATTTCTTTTGAGTTTAATTTTATTTCTTCAAATGAAGACATCATTGTTTCTTTTTATACCTGCATATGTATCTTGTTATATTTAAATTATTCATAAATGGTAGATCAATATAATATATTCATATAATAAATTATGACTTTATACAGGCAAACTAACATTCCTGCATGATCTATGTAGGCTAAATATTTTTCAAAATTTTAAATATGGTTGGTATAGATTACAAAACCATTCAAACATTTTCAAATCTCCTACCTCAAAAGATTTATCCTCCAAGGATACAGAAAAAGAAACTCTGCCAACCATATTTCCACATGTAGATTGATTTGTCTCGCTGGGATATGCTTCACTTGCAGCAACATTACTCTCATTGGTTTCATCTTCTTCATGATAATGAATCAGGTCCCGGCTTCTGATTGGCCAGTTATCTTGAAAGTACTCAAGGCAGTTTGCAGCTAAATCATTTGCAGGATTTTCAGATTTATTGGCAACTAAAAATGAATAGATATATTTTAAAACAATTTAAAAAACAACAACAGTTTTCAGCATTTTTTATGTGCCATGGGAAATGGCATTTTTTTCCCCATGAATTTGTGCTAGTAATGTTAAGTTAAATGTTTTATATTTTAACAAAAACAATGGGCCAACAATCATCATGTACCAGTTACATATACAAGTTTCAACATTAGGCAACACACACTAATTAGATCTAGTATGATTTAGTTTTTTGTGCTCAGACAAATTTACTTTCCCTAAAGTGAGTTGGTATTGATGGGTTAGCAATTTAGTGTCTACAACCCAACCCAACTGCTGTCCAATCCTAATCAACTTTAAAACAGATGTGTGTTAAAACATTAATTCACCTGAATCCAAATACAATCCTTGAAGATTGCCAACACAAGCATCTAAACAGCCAAGCTGGTAAACAAAACAGTAGCTCAGTACATTTAGTTTTCTAAAACTTAATGTTAGAATCATAAAAAAAAGAAAATGTGAATGTTATGAGCTTTCAACTATTGACTGATCTCACTGTAGCTAGGCTATTTGAGAAGCTAGAATAAAAATATATTTTTTTCAATACCAGCTAATTTAAAAAAATTCCCATTTAGATTTTCAATGAATAACTTTTTAAATCCTAGTCAGAAAAATAATTTTACTTCCTAATGTTATACATTTGAAAATTTAAAAACAATTCAATAATGATAATTTCAATGATAATTTCATTATTCAAGTTAAAATTGGGAAATATATACATTTCATAAACACTTGTTGAAATGAAAAATTTGATTTTAAAAATGAATATGTGAGTTGAAGGCACATGTTCCGGAATACACACCGCTTTGAGGGAAGACAAGCACATGAATGAACTCAACTTCATCAGCCTCATTGACTTCTGGTCTTGCAATATGATTGGTACAATTTTGACTCAAATTCCCCAACTCAACAACACAAGTAATTAACATCTATCAGAGTATGCAAACCAATATTTTATCAAGAAATGAAAATTACCTTTAGCCTTGTTTTTTTGAGAGCGTCTAAAAACATTTCTTTGGTCCAAATTCCATCTGGTGGGAGTTCAAGATGATGCCAAGGATCCTAGAAGATATTACACACTGCCTTTACTTTGTTAAAAAAAACAATGGTTTAAAATATCTAAATCTGCGTTAACTTTATATGACAGGTAAGGGGTTAATCTTTAAACATTTATAAAAATTCTAAAAAAAAAGCATATTATAAATATACCTGTTCTGGTACAAATTTAAGATTCAATTTTTCTACATCATCTTTTAGTTCATCAGACTGCAACCATAAAGCTTCAAGTCCAAACTTGAGTTTCCCCAGTTCATTATCTATTCTCAATGTTTCTCCATCGAGCTGTTTAAATTTATTCACTTAGTACATTACGCAAAATAATATAAATTATTTTACAAAGTAAAGATGTATGGATAATACTGTATTTTCAATTGTTCCTTTTAAAATTAGGTAATAAAGTAATAAAAATGGGTTCATTAAAAAAAAAAAAACAATTAGATAAGCCTACCACAATCAATCCTTCTTTATTGTCGATATCATTCATTTTAATCCAAAGTTCATCAATGTCCAATCTGTTTTTATCAATCTTTTCCTTAATGGATTTCAGGGCTTTATAAAATGCCTTTTTTCCATTTTTTAGATTCGAGTTAAACAGTTCCTCTAATTTCTTTAACTGAACCTGCGTGTTCTTATTTAAGACAGAATGTCGACTGTGCATTTTAGATATCATCTCCTCAACAAATTCTGTGCTATATTCCAATTTCAAATTATTGATACATTTCTCCTGTTCACATAGTTTGAAGGAAAGCTGTCTTAATTCCTTTTCCATTTGAGGTAAAGAAGTTTGAGATTTTGTTTCACTTTTGCAGTTACACTCATTTTTATTGTTATGTGAATTTTCTTGCAATGATTTCAAATCTTCTTTGGGAGTATTTTCTGAAGAACTGCTTTCCCGGGTTGCTATAAGTGTTTTGATATTGTTGATGTCTTCTCCCTGTTTAGAAAGCTCATCCATAATTTCTGACATTTGGCCTTTAATTTTTATAAACTGATCCTCCAGCCTCAAGTTCATGTCAGTCTTCATCTCTACCATTTCTTGTTTCAGTTTTTTCAACTCCATTTCAAGTTTGTGCAACATTCTGAGTTTTTTTTAATAATTCCCGCAATAAAAATCTACTTGGTCTTGGATAGATTTTTTTTTCAATTTTCCTTCAGATAGAACTATGGTCCTATTTAATTATTTAATTGTTGCAACCTGTGTATGAGCTGAAATTACAATTAGATCTAATTAAGTAATTTTAGTTTGTAAATGGGATGTTTAATGTTTATACACTAAAGGCCCTAAATAAACCATAAATTATAGATAGACTCTATGACACTCTATGTGATATGACTAAATGTAGTAATTGACTATCTATTAGTGGTCATCCATAAATGTCGTAAATGTTACTAGATTCTAAATGTATTTTCAATTTTGTTTTAATAAGTTTTAATAATTAAAACGTTAAAAAATTTAAAATACTTTAATGATGAATGTACCGTATTTCCTCCCCCCCCCCCCCCCAGAGGGGAAGACAATGAATGAATAAAGAATTAAAGATGGGCGGAGAGTCTTGACCAGATGAGGGGGGGGGTCTACCAATTATAATTATTGCAATTTAATAAAAGAAATAAGTAGCATAAACTATATTTAAAATCGTAATGGTATTAGTATTACATGTACTAAACGTTAAATTACTTAACAGTTAACAGAACAACCGAATCGTGTTATCATCCGTCGGACGTTTGTTACCTGAATACCTGCAACCTAATTCCAAGAATATGACCTAGCTAGCTCGATTACTGGTATTGTAATCGACTACAAAAAGTATTGAGTTTTACGTGGTCAGAAATAAACTAAAAATCGTTTTAAAATAAATTATGGATAAGAGAGTGATCGATAATTGTTCAAATCTTTGCAACAGTTCTATTTAACACAAGTTAAACGGCACTCACAAACTGATTCAGCTTTCTAAATCTGAAAGAGCATGTTGCTACTTTCGGTATCAGGTTATTATGACAAGGGGTCGTAAACAGAGGAAACATTCTGCTATAAATAAGACAGCAATCATTCAACAATCAATAGTACAATATAGTATACATTCTCTTTTTATGTGTGTCTGTGTCAGTGTATGACATACTTTTTAATTTTATGATATAATATTAATTATAATGGCCCAAAACTTTTCAATTTATACTATTATATATAATATAGGCCTATAGGCCTATAGGCTACTTTAAAACTAATTTAAATCCTATCTACATCTAGAGTCTACCAGACCACCTATACAAGTCAGACTAAATTAGTAAAATTACTAGCATTTAGCGCCATAGGCAAAACTTATTAAAGTGATCCCCACTCCCCCCACACAAATGTTTTTTTTGGACCCTAATATATATTATATAGGCCTATTAATATACATATATATATCATATATATATATATATATATATATATATATATATATATATATATATATATATATATATATATATATATATATATATATATATATATATAATATATATATATATATATATATATATATATATATATATATATATATATATATATATATATATATATATATATATATATTTTATATATATATACATTTTGGCCTACTATATATATATGTAACTAGGGTAGGCCTAGCTACTAGTTACAAATCTGATAACGAACGATAAGCCGAGACGCAGTATTACAGTCTGATGCAACATAGCAGGTGGCTTATTGGATCGGACTGATAACAATCTCAAAGCCAACGCGTGCTATTTTGGGAAACGGTACGAGGGGATTCAGACGGCTTGTCAACTTTGATTGATAGGATGCAGATGTTATTTCACGGACTGTACGTTAGAACTGCGCAACTAGTGGTCGGAGACATCGAGTACAAGTATCGATTACGGAGGAATACAAGTACGAAGACGAGTACGGATACAAGGGATAAATAGGAGGGGACGGCTGAACTCGTTCTCTTCCCTCTTCATCGCTCGCTTTAGATCAGTCAGTCTGTGTGACATATCAAGTTGGTTATATTGTGTTAAGAAGGACAATAGACATGTGGATTCAGTTATATGAAGCCTAGTGAGGACTGTTAGGGGTCAGTTGATTCAGACTATTATTGTGAAACATTCCTGTTGATTCATTGTGTTATATTGAAGCATTTCTTGATTCATGTAATAAAAGGATCAATAGCGAACCTGCATCTTCGAGTCTTTCTACTGTAGTCGATGTTGTGTAGCATGAGTGGTTCAACTCGTTACAATTGGCGTTGTCGGGCAGGATAGACTCGGGGAAGGTCACATTTGGCGCTGCGAGCAGGATGAATTCAACTAGACTTGCCGGTTGAGGCACCCATAGTCAACCTTGTGCATAACTGTGTTTTGTGTGTATGTGAATTCGGACATTCAGGAACTGTGAAAATCGAGGAAAATTTTTTCATACACACACGGTAAGAAAGAACTCTTTTGTTTTACTTACGGAATAAAATGTCTACTCTGGACGAGAAGCAGACCCATATAGTGGTCCTACCCAGAGAGTCCCACATTAACAAATTTTACGGGGACGGGGATCCAACTTTAACCAACAGGTTCAGTGAAGAGGTCAAAGCGGCCTGGGCCTCGAGAGGCATGTCACCAGAGGAAAGATTAAGACTGCTGATGGGCAGTATAGGAGAGACGGTTAGGGCAGAGGTCAAATGCCACGATAAAACCATCCAATCAGATCCGGATAAGGTGCTGGATCTGATTATGGAGACCTTTGGGGAGAGACGGTCGGGTTCGCAACTACTAACGGTGTTTGTAGGTATAAAGCAGAGAATGGCGGAGAGTGTGATGGAGTATTCACACCGAATGAACGGGGCCTTTGATTCGGTAAAGGTCAAAACACCTGACATTGATGTGCGCCTACTGAGGGACCATTTCATCGAGGGGCTAGCAACCCCGATCCTAAGAAGAGAGTTGAAAGAGGAGGTCCACAAAGACCAGCAGTTGACCTTCCTGCAGGTCAGGAACTCAGCGATCCGCAGGTCCGAGGATGAGGACCAATCGAACTGTTCGGTGGACAAAGTCTCTGTGCCTGAACAGAGACAATCCCCACCCACAGGGGCCGACACGATGGAGACCATGATGGCTCAACTGTTGGCCCACCTGGTTAAGGTTGACCAACGATTGGAGAGGTTAGAAAGCAGGTCAACAGCTGAGAATCAGGGCAAAAACGGGACAAAACAGAGACAGGTTGGACAGCCGCGACCTGCCGGTCCATCGCTCCGGTGGACGGCTGACGGTCGACCAATTTGCTTGTCCTGTTCACAACCCGGACAGATGGCACGGTACTGTCCGGTGAAACGATCGCCCTCTGTAAGGCAGGTCAAGGCTACAGAGCGGCGAGGTAATGACTTAGTAAACAAAATGACACAGAAACACAGTAAGGAGAAAAAGAAAGGTAAAACACAACTAATAGAAAAAATGAACTGTGAAATGAACTTGAATGTTGAAAAGTTTCAAGTGAACAATTTGTTGGCTAAGAAAAATGATGATAGGGAAAGTTCATGCAAATTAAAAGCACAGGAGAAATGTTCATCTTTAGAGTGTCTGTTATCGGAAGAAGTAAATAAAAATAGTAGACAACAGAACAGTGTTGGCAAACTAGAAGAAATGAAAGAGTCTCAAACAAGACTTGAAGAGAAATTATTCGATATTGAAAAAGAACTTCAAATTACAGCAAGGCTGGGATCCATCGAACAGCGATGGGCAGCAGAATTGGCACTCGTTGACCTAGAGAGAAAACATCGCCCGGGGCGGTCCAATGGCAATGCGGACGCCTTATCAAGGAATCCTTACGAGAGACCGGGCGATGAGGAAGAAACGCTGACAGGAATATGTGAGGTCAGAGCGTCAGCAGATATCCCTCACGGGGTGCAAGTGATGCAAAACGGGCAGACCGGGGTGGAGCACATATCCACAGAGCCCGAACATATGGACAGTAGTGATTTTAATTGCCTTAATCATAAAAAGATAAGAGATGCCCAGAGAACGGATAGTGGCTTACAACCGCTATTGAAATACGTCCAGGAACAAAAATTCCCAGGAAGAAGGGAAAGAGAACAATTTGGTCGAGAAACAAAGAAAATACTGAGTCAGTGGGACCGTCTCAGTATAAAGGATGGTGTTCTCATGCGGAGAATTCATGACCAAATTGATGGGACAATACACCAGGTGGTGGTGCCTGGACAATTACGAGAAGAAGTGCTAAGGTTGGCACATGACAGGGCAGGACACCAGGGTCAGGACAGGACGCACAAAATATTACGACGGAGGTGTTACGGGCCCAATATGGAAATGGAGGTCAAACGCCATTGTGAGGCTTGTGTGAGGTGTCAGCATGCGAAAATGCCAGTTGTCAAAATGAGACAGCCATCAGGACACCTACTAGCGACAAAACCACTAGAGATTGTGGCTATGGACTTTACGTCGTTGGAGCAATCATCGGATGGGACGGAACATGTGTTGGTAATGACTGATGTATTCACCAAATGGACGGTGGCGGTGCCCACGCGAGATCAGACTGCCAAAACAGTGGCAAAGGTCTTAATAGAACATTGGTTCATCAAATATGGCATACCAAGACAATTACACTCTGACCAAGGAAGGGCTTTCGAGTCAGAAGTAATTAACCAACTGTGCAGCCACTACGGGATCAACAAATCTAGAACAACCACATTTAATCCGAAAGGAAACGGACAGTGTGAACGGTTCAACCGCAGCATGCATGATTTGCTGCGTACGCTAGAACCTGAACAGAAAAAACGTTGGCCTGATTTTCTCCCAGAGTTGGTATATCTATACAACTGCACACCCCATGCCACAACCGGCTTTGCGCCATACATGTTGCTGTTCGGACGGGAGGCTCGACTCCCTCTTGATTTGTTCCTAGGAAAAAGGGAGAGTATGACTGGCTCATACACCGCACTGGAATATGTGAATGAACACATGAGAAGAATTAGAGAAATGTACAGGGTAGTACAGGAAAGACTAGAACATGAAGCACGGCGAAGGGAACCGCCGGTACAGACAAAGGACCCGCCACTCAAACTGAATGACAGGGTATTACTGCGTAGCCACCCGTTAGGCAGAAACAAAATCCACGATCTCTGGGGACAGGAGATATGGCAAGTCGTGGAGATGCCTAAAGGAGCAGGTGGCCCCTTTAAGATAAGACCCATCGATCACGCCAAACCGGATCGGTGGGCGAATATTGCTCAATTAAAGAAATATTGGAATAGGCAAGAAGAGCAGTTACACACAAGGAAATCCAAGACAATTAGGGAACCGGAAACTATAACGGAAATTCACATACCCATCCCGGAACCATATCACCATCAACAGAACAACCGCGATACACAAGTGGAGGATAACGGCAACAAAGAGGATCCCGTTCCTTCCAGAAGCAGAGAGACAGTAGACCATCAGATAAGTGGTCCGCGGAGAAGTTTGAGGAACAGAAGGAAGACGAAATTTTTTGTCAGCAACCATCAAGTCTTTCATGGTCGCGCTGGTATGAGAACAGACGGTTCAAAAAGCTATAAAAGTGAACTGGTGAAGGCACCAAACGAAAGGGGTGGATGTGAATTCTAGAACTGTTTTGTGTCTCAGGAAGACGATGTAGACACAGTTGATATGAGAAATAGGTATAACTGTCAATCGTATACGAATGGGACGTCGTGGACAGTGAGTGGAACAATAAAAATTTTTTTTTACGATTGTGCGATTGACTTTGGAGGAGTGCACCTGCCAGGCGTTGTTTGTGGTTGAAAACACACCAAAAAAAAGCAGGGGTGGATGTAACTAGGGTAGGCCTAGCTACTAGTTACAAATCTGATAACGAACGATAAGCCGAGACGCAGTATTACAGTCTGATGCAACATAGCAGGTGGCTTATTGGATCGGACTGATAACAATCTCAAAGCCAACGCGTGCTATTTTGGGAAACGGTACGAGGGGATTCAGACGGCTTGTCAACTTTGATTGATAGGATGCAGATGTTATTTCACGGACTGTACGTTAGAACTGCGCAACTAGTGGTCGGAGACATCGAGTACAAGTATCGATTACGGAGGAATACAAGTACGAAGACGAGTACGGATACAAGGGATAAATAGGAGGGGACGGCTGAACTCGTTCTCTTCCCTCTTCATCGCTCGCTTTAGATCAGTCAGTCTGTGTGACATATCAAGTTGGTTATATTGTGTTAAGAAGGACAATAGACATGTGGATTCAGTTATATGAAGCCTAGTGAGGACTGTTAGGGGTCAGTTGATTCAGACTATTATTGTGAAACATTCCTGTTGATTCATTGTGTTATATTGAAGCATTTCTTGATTCATGTAATAAAAGGATCAATAGCGAACCTGCATCTTCGAGTCTTTCTACTGTAGTCGATGTTGTGTAGCATGAGTGGTTCAACTCGTTACAATTGGCGTTGTCGGGCAGGATAGACTCGGGGAAGGTCACATATATATATATATATATATATATATATATATATATATATATATATATATATATATATATATATATATATATATATATATATATATATATAGATATATTATATAATATTTACATATTAGGCCTATTTACCTATCTATCTATATAAATATATATATATAAAAAGCAATGTATGTCTGTGTGTCTGTCCTTTATGCATTACTACACCTCTCATCACATCGCCGTGAAACTTTGGGAAGTTGTTGAGAATATACCTGGGGAGGTTTCTGCAAAAACAAATTTCAAATTTGCCGGGGTGGCGCCCTGGCAAGGCGCAATTTGTTTTTTCTCTATATACAGTATATAAAAATAAAAGTCGATTTTGGTTTGACATCGTTCATCCAATAGTCATGAGACTTTGGGGAGTTCATTATAAAACTCTAGGGTTCTGTAAAAAATCATTTTTAATTTCGCAAGGGCGGCGCCACGGGAGGGTGAGATTTTTCTCTATATACTGTTTATAAAAAAGCAAAATCTACTTTTATTTTTATATACGGTATATAGAGAAAAAAAATCGCGCCCTGCCGGGGCGCCACCCCTACGAATTTGAAAATGTTTTTTGCGCAAAAACCTCCCCAGGAGTATTCTCAACACTTACCAAAGTTTCATGGCGATCGTGAGAATTGTGTCACTGCAGTTCACTTTTATTATTTTTATATACCGTATATAGAGAAAAATCGCAACCTCCCGTGGCGCCGCCCTTGCGAATTTGAATTTTTTTTTTTCGCAGAAACCTCCCCAGGAATATTCACAACAACTTCCCAAAGTTTCACGGCAATGTGATGAGAGGTGTAGTAATGCATAAAGGACAGACAAACACACACACATACATTGCTTTTTATATATATAGATAGATAGATTATGTACTTTTTACTAATGGAGATTACACATTTTTGTGCACCCCATGGATATTGCCTTAGGCGACCGCACAGTTCGTCTTATATGTAGCGCCGACCCTGATTACACAACACTTTAATTTCACCATGGTCCAAGTGCTTAATAAAGATAATATAAGTTAAAATAGAAACGTTAAGGAAAACAAAACTTTAAAGCCTTGTTGCAAATATTTCTGAAAAGTGGATTCTGATTCTAGAGAAGCAATCTGTAGATCATTATCTACTAAATAAAAAATGTTCTTTAAAGGAAAATGAGAAAATGATAATTATAGGGCCTAGTACTAGTACTATAGGGCCTAGTACTAGTACTATAGGGCCTATTACTAGTACTATAGGGCCTAGTACTATAGGGCCTAGTAATTATCAATTTAATATTTTTTATACAATTGATTTCTGGGTCATGTTTTGATTTTTATCATTCCAGATGGTGCATTTTCTATTTAATAAATTAATGTTCAAATTATAATTGTACTGACATTTTTGATTGGATTATCTATTTCATTTTTTCCTGAACATATCCATGGGTTGATTTCTTAAAGTGATGTTGCTAGGTTGGTGAGTCTCTTGGTGTATTAGGTTGGTGAATCTCTTGGTGTATTAGGTTGGTGAATCTCTTGGTACAACAACTGTTGACCAACACTGAATCGCAGCTTTTGCTCTGGTTTCTATTGTGTGCAGAGCAATAAGATATAGGAAAGTGTTGAACATATCTTTGGCATCCATTGCTAAGAGATAGTTTCCAATCTCAATAATATTTTAACAGTAGAGAAGCTGAGTGGCTACAGAATCTAATACCACTTATTACAACACCTTATGTCTAATCAAGGCAAACCAAAAGATAATAAGTTGACAAAAAGCATTTTTGTAGGTGTCAGCCTTTTGTCTTACACCTAATATTTAATTATGTAACTTTTACGGAATCAATGAAGTTAATGTCATTATAATTAATATAATATATACTTATTAATGCCACAGGTTAAGGACTAGGAAAAGCAATGGCCAAAAATTTTGTAATAAAATATTGACAAGAAATAACAATGGATTAAAAAAAAAAACTTTATTTTATAAAACCCAATACCTTGTAAACTTTATATCACAGATCAAAGCAATTTACAAACTGATTAGCAAAAATTATTTGTACACAAAAACAAATATTTATAATTTATACACTGACTTCATTATAAAGGCTGATGACTTTACATTTTGTGTTCTTGATGAATAGCAAATATCTAATTATACAAAATAACATTAAACAAAAAACCAATTGAGATTTTTCATTCAAGTAATATAAAAATATTGAAAGTTAAGTTTATTAAAACAACAACCACAAGAAGAAGCATCTTTCTCAATTGTTAAGGAACATGTTGACCTAATGGACCATGTTGACCTACTAAAGACCCACTGCTGACCTAATGGACCATGTTGACCTACTAAACACCCACTGCTGACCTAATGGACCATGTTGACCTACTAAAGACCCACTGCTGACCTAATGGACCATGTTGACCTACTAAACACCCACTGCTGACCTAATGGACCATGTTGACCTACTAAAGACCCACTGCTGACCTAATGGACCATGTTGACCCTCTCCAGTTAAGTAACATAAGATAACACATTAAAAACATAAAATATTACAAACACTTGTAAGGTATCACAAAACATCGCTAAAAATCTCCAAGCGCAGCCTTAATTTTAAATATACACAAACTAAATTTGAAGGAAAGATAACTCATGAGGTTAGGATTTTATAAAAGCAAGGATTTCTTAAATGCTCTTCTCATGAGTAAGATACATTTTATGTAGACATGCAGATACGTTAAATATATTCATCTATATTGCCATTAGAAATATAGCAATTGTTTGGAAAAAGCCAACATATTAACCGACAAACAACCAACAAATTAACTCCACTACTGGCTGATAGTAATTAAACCAACCCAATGAGCGCAGGTCACTCGCCCACGTAGGATGTAGACAAGGAGCTACTGCGTGAGGCTGTGATAGGTTTTAACTTGACCTTGACAGATCCGCCACTTGTAACCTGTTTCCTGGCTGACATTGGTGTCTTTGTTGGTCCACCACCCAGCGCAAAGTTGGGCAGACTGGCATGCACAATTTTACCTTTGGACTGGCACAGACAATAAAATAACATTAGATGAATCCAAGTTATTGTTTGAAAATGTTCAGCAGTGTCCCAACAGTTTTCTGTATCAAATTTATTTTAATGCTCTGGGAAAAGTTCTGAGCAATTCTATACATGGATGTCCTGTTCTGTTGATATGTTTCTATACTAATAATTGCCCAATTGTTATCCATGAATGGCATCAAACTCTGTAAGCTGATTTTTACTGTTCATTATTACTTATCACTAAAAAAAGTAGAACCACCCTTAAATTCCCAACATCACATAGTTCTACTCCCCCCTCCCCCCAAAATTCTTGTTATTAATATTTTTTCAGCCATTTTGTTTTTTAAAAATAAAAAAATGCTATGTCACACTCGCCATCCCTCATCCCACACTGGGCGTCATTATTTATGGATGACCCCCAAAGTTTAGGCTACATGATTACATTTGACAGTTTTTGTTTATGTTTAAAAGACTGCATTACATCAATAAAAAAAACTGTTATAGCATCTACGTATCAAATTACCTGGCTCTTGTTGAGCATGGCGGAATGCTCACTCTTCATCCTCCTCTCATACTCCAGGATGTAGCTGGGAAATAATGACTTCTCATCAAAGGCGGTGATTAAAGCTGTGGGAATGATAGATTGATATAACAATAGATTAGAACTGAAGAAACTTTAAATGAAATATTTTAACAATGATAGCTGTAAAAATGGTCACGTGACAATTAAATGAAACTGTTTGATAATGAGCACTGAGATAAATGTTAAAATGTTTTGCTTTTTAAATTAAAATATTTATATATAAGGTGCATCATAGTTATATGCTAAAATGACTATCAGAGTTAAAAGATCCTCCCAAAATACTGTAATCTAAATAAGCCTACACATAATTAAATTGATATCAATTCCTGTAAATTCAGCAATTAGCATGTTCCAATGTTTTTAAAAATCTGGTAATTTCTGCAATATAAAAAGCTGACTCACTATCTGCTAGGAGCGGAAGTTTTTTGCTGGAGTTATCTGTTCTTTGGATGAAGTATTTTTCTGGGTCAGGTTTGACAATGACTTGTATAGGGTTTAACTCTTTAGTGTCCAGAGCCTGTCAGGAGAAACATGATCAGCAGAATAAAAATAAAAACATGCATTTGGTTAAGAAAACAAAGGAACAATATGAAATGAAACATGTACAAATAGAAAAACACATTTTTTATTAAATAAAATTAGGAAAACTCTAAAAGGTATGTAACAAATATAACAAAGGTAATTGTTTGTTACTATTGATGGTAGAAAAAGGACATTGTATAGTAATTATGTATACCTTAAAAATATTTTTTACTGTAAAAACTGTATGAAGTGCAACAGATGAAGTGCATTAACTCCCTTGATCAACTCTTTTGTTTATTATTTTTTATTTTTTAAAAACTGCTTTAAATTTTTTTCATTAAGTTTAAAGTTTAAAAAAAAAAGACTTGAGATTTGTCAACTTGAATGTTTGGCTAGATATAAGTTAATGTAAGACTTACAGAGTAGGGCCCAGATGGTGCGGCCCCTGTTTTCTCCCAATGAAGGTACGGCAGGTCAGGGATGGTTCCTGGCTGACGACGCTCACGTTTTTGTTTCCTGAGTTCCTGGTAGTCTTTACCTGGCAATAGGTGATGTTTGACACTAAATACACTAGCAATCACAGGCCTTTGAGGTCAAAAGTTACCAACCCCCAAGTCTCACAACTAGTTGCACTACTCAGCAGTCACCTACCCCCCCCCCCCCCCCCCACTATCAGGCTGCCTCCTCACATTGATACTCCCACACACCTAGAGCTCCCCACACCCTTAGAAACTCAACACACCAAAAGCACTCCCACAAAGAGCTCCCCACACCATCAGTGACCCCTGTAGCATATAGTGACAGCCACAGACCCACCTAAAACAGTAGTCTCCCACGTATTGACCCTGTATTTGGCAGGTTCTGTGACCCCTGTAGCATCAGACCCCCCACTGACCCACCTAAAACAGTAGTCTCCCACGTATTGACCCTGTATTTGGCAGGTTCTGTGACCCCTGTAGCATCAGACCCCCCACTGACCCACCTAAAACAGTAGTCTCCCACGTATTTACCCTGTATTTGGCAGGTTCTGTGACCCCTGTAGCATCAGACCCCCCACTGACCCACCTAAAACAGTAGTCTCCCACGTATTTACCCTGTATTTGGCAGGTTCTGTGACCCCTGTAGCATCAGACCCCCCACTGACCCACCTAAAACAGTAGTCTCCCACGTATTTACCCTGTATTTGGCAGGTTCTGTGACCCCTGTAGCATCAGACCCCCCACTGACCCACCTAAAACAGTAGTCTCCCACGTATTTACCCTGTATTTGGCAGGTTCTGTGACCCCTGTAGCATCAGACCCCCCACTGACCCACCTAAAACAGTAGTCTCCCACGTATTTACCCTGTATTTGGCAGGTTCTGTGACCCCTGTAGCATCAGACCCCCCAGAGACCCACCTAAAACAGTAGTCTCCCACGTATTTACCCTGTATTTGGCAGGTTCTGTGACCCCTGTAGCATCAGACCCCCCACTGACCCACCTAAAACAGTAGTCTCCCACGTATTTACCCTGTATTTGGCAGGTTCTGTGACCCCTGTAGCATCAGACCCCCCACTGACCCACCTAAAACAGTAGTCTCCCACGTATTTACCCTGTATTTGGCAGGTTCTGTGACCCCTGTAGCATCAGACCCCCCACTGACCCACCTAAAACAGTAGTCTCCCACGTATTTACCCTGTATTTGGCAGGTTCTGTGACCCCTGTAGCATCAGACCCCCCACTGACCCACCTAAAACAGTAGTCTCCCACGTATTTACCCTGTATTTGGCAGGTTCTGTGACCCCTGTAGCATCAGACCCCCCACTGACCCACCTAAAACAGTAGTCTCCCACGTATTTACCCTGTATTTGGCAGGTTCTGTGACCCCTGTAGCATCAGACCCCCCACTGACCCACCTAAAACAGTAGTCTCCCACGTATTTACCCTGTATTTGGCAGGTTCTGTGACCCCTGTAGCATCAGACCCCCCACTGACCCACCTAAAACAGTAGTCTCCCACGTATTTACCCTGTATTTGGCAGGTTCTGTGACCCCTGTAGCATCAGACCCCCCACTGACCCACCTAAAACAGTAGTCTCCCACGTATTTACCCTGTATTTGGCAGGTTCTGTGACCCCTGTAGCATCAGACCCCCCACTGACCCACCTAAAACAGTAGTCTCCCACGTATTTACCCTGTATTTGGCAGGTTCTGTGACCCCTGTAGCATCAGACCCCCCACTGACCCACCTAAAACAGTAGTCTCCCACGTATTTACCCTGTATTTGGCAGGTTCTGTGACCCCTGTAGCATCAGACCCCCCACTGACCCACCTAAAACAGTAGTCTCCCACGTATTTACCCTGTATTTGGCAGGTTCTGTGACCCCTGTAGCATCAGACCCCCCACTGACCCACCTAAAACAGTAGTCTCCCACGTATTTACCCTGTATTTGGCAGGTTCTGTGACCCCTGTAGCATCAGACCCCCCACTGACCCACCTAAAACAGTAGTCTCCCACGTATTTACCCTGTATTTGGCAGGTTCTGTGACCCCTGTAGCATCAGACCCCCCACTGACCCACCTAAGACAGTAGTCCCCCACGTATTGACCCTGTATTTGGCAGGTTCTGTGACCCCTGTAGCATCAGACCCCCCACTGACCCACCTAAGACAGTAGTCCCCCACGTATTGACCCTGTATTTGGCAGGTTCTGTGACCCCTGTAGCATCAGACCCCCCACTGACCCACCTAAGACAGTAGTCCCCCACGTATTGACCCTGTATTTGGCAGGTTCTGTGACCCCTGTAGCATCAGACCCCCCAGAGACCCACCTAAGACAGTAGTCCCCCACGTATTGACCCTGTATTTGGCAGGTTCTGTGACCCCTGTAGCATCAGACCCCCCACTGACCCACCTAACACAGTTGTCCCCCATGTATTGACCCTGTATTTGTCAGGTTCTGTGACCCCTGTAGCATATAGTGACCCCCCACTGACCCACCTAAGACAGTTGTCCCCCACGTATTGACCCTGTATTTGGCAGGTTCTGTGACCCCTGTAGCATCAGACCCCCAGAGACCCACCTAACACAGTTGTCCCCCACGTATTGACCCTGTATTTGGCAGGTTCTGTGACCCCTGTAGCATCAGACCCCCCACTGACCCACCTAAGACAGTAGTCCCCCACGTATTGACCCTGTATTTGGCAGGTTCTGTGACCCCTGTAGCATCAGACCCCCCACTGACCCACCTAAAACAGTAGTCTCCCACGTATTTACCCTGTATTTGGCAGGTTCTGTGACCCCTGTAGCATCAGACCCCCAGAGACCCACCTAACACAGTTGTCCCCCACGTATTGACCCTGTATTTGGCAGGTTCTATGACCCCTGCAGCATCAGACCCCCAGAGACCCACCTAACACAGTTGTCCCCCACGTATTGACCCTGTATTTGGCAGGTTCTGTGATGGCAGCAGCATCAGGCACCCAGTCAGGGTCAAGGTTACTCTCCACCACCTGCACATGTTTCTCTTCACCATTTTTCTGTAGAACATTTGAAAAATTACAAATTAGAACAGCATTGGTTGACCTACAAACTATTCCTTAGTCATTGCCTACATCATCATGCCCAGAAATAGAACCACTTTACCAATCATACAATATCATCTACAAGCAAACAAATCACTTTCTAACACTCTCACCCTATCCATTGAGTCACTTTTAAAAAACCACAAGGCTAAGAAAAAATATTTCAACATTCCATAAATTAAATTTGGGATCATAAACATTTAGCTAAAGAAGACTTTTTCGTTCAGTCTTGACATTATTATTTTAGCAGTTCATATGCTACAGTCCAGCCTAAACTGACCTCATTTTTTTCTTTTTCATCTGTTTCCTGCTTTGGGTGATAAGGTTCTATCTTCCAATGCTCTTCCTAGAAAACAAAAAAATTGCGTTTGTAAAATTAAAAAAATTGTGCTTGTAAAATAAAACAGTAAGTTAAATAATGTCAGTGTATTCTATTCTAAATCAGATATATTTCTCAAGCAACCAAACTTCAATTAGAGTTACAATAAAAAGTCTTAAAAAAAAGACAACCAACCTGACCAAAGATACCAATCCTGTTGCCATAGATATCCCACAATGCAACACTGCAGTCAGAGGAAGCAGAGATAATGAGGAGCCTCTCATTCCTCTCAAACATCTCCAGTGTGTTGATCTGGTCTTGGTGGGGCTGGAACAGGGACTTCATGGCTGGGGATCATTAATTAGGCTCGTTAATTTAGATCAGTACAATAAGTTATAGACTTCATGGCTGGGGATAATTAATTAGGCTCATTAATTTAACTTTAATTTAACTCAGTACAATAAAATAGGGACTTAATGGCTGGGGATAATTAATTAGGTGATAATTAGGCTCATTAGTTTAGATCAGTACAATAAAATAGGGACTTCATGGCTGGGGATCATTAATTAATTAGGTGATAATTAGGCTCGTTAATTTAGATCAGTACAATAAAATAGGGACTTCATGGCTGGGGATTATTAATTAGGTGATAATTAGGCTCGTTAATTTAGATCAGAACAATAAAATAGGGACTTCATGGCTGGGGATTATTAATTAGGTGATAATTAGGCTCATTAATTTAGATCAGTACAATAAAATAGGGACTTCATGGCTGGGGATAAGTAATTAGGTGATAATTAGGCTCGTTAATTTAGATCAGTACAATAAAATAGGGACTTCATGGCTTGAGATAATTAATTAGGTCATAATACATTAGGCTAATTATTTAACTCAGTACAATAAAATAGGGACTTCATGGCTAGAGAAAGCCAATTAGGAGATAATCAATTAGTCTAATTATTTAACTCAGTACAATACAATAGGGACTTCAAGGCTGAAGATAATCAATTAGGACATAATCAATTACGCTCATTATTTTAACTTAGTACAAGTATTCAATAATAATTTCAACAATAACATTTTTGTTCAATATAGCCTATTAAATTCTCATTTTAATGATACATCTTTTGTCCTCAATATTTGTTTTAATAATACACTTTTTGTTGCTAATATCTAATTCTTGTTTTAATAATACATTTCTGAAATTTAAATCTCCATTTGCAAACATTTTTAAAACCTACGGTAAAAATCTTACGAGGTGGTTCTGTGACAGTTTCAGTCACATGACCCAGTGCGTACTCCTGAATCTCCCAGACTTTAACAAAACCATCCACGTCTGCTGTTGCTATGTAACGGTTTTTGGCATCAGTAGCCATGATGATACCTCCAACTGGGTAAACAAAAAAACATTGTATGAATGGAATAGGTAGCCATGATGGTACCTCCAACTGGGTAAACAAAAAAACATTGTATGAATGGAATAGGTAGCCATGATGATACCTCCAACTGGGTAAACAAAAAAACATTGTATGAATGGCATTGGTAGCCATGATGGTACCTCCAACTGGTAGCCATGATGGTACCTCCAACTGGGTAAACAAAAAAAACATTGTATGAATAGCATCAGTAGCCATGATGGTACCTCCAACTGGGTAAACAAAAAAACATTGTATGAATGGAAACATGCACTGATGCACGGTGGACTAGAGGATACTATAGAAAATAAAACAGACCATCAAACTTTACCATTCTGGTGAGCCACAAACTCCGCCACCAGGAAGGCTTTGGCTGAATTCCAGAACCTGACCCACCCATTGCCACCACAGGATACAAGATTGGCGGCGCCACTTGCACTGTGGCCCTGACGGTTCTCCAGGAATATCAGACGAACAACAGCCCAACCAAACTCATTCTGGGAGAGAAGAGAACAGCTTTTTAAAAAACTTGGGAAACAAAACATGATCTGGTATTCTAGCTTAAAACTATCGTGATGCAAAACAGTTAGGCCTTATCATAACTGAGGTCAGTCATGATAAGTGTGAGTTTTTTTTTTTGTTTTCAATTGTGGCAAATAAATAATATTAAAAAAAAATAATAAAGTAACTATCACAAAACATAGTCTTGAAGCAAGCACATTTAGCCAATCAAAAAATCTCTTACATGTTCCTCCGTCCCCCCTGGGCTGATTGACAGTCTGGTGACAGATCGTCTGCCCAGTGACGAGGGGGGCTTCAGTCTGTCCGCAGGGCCAAAGGTCGACTTTTTCCTCAGCTCAGGGAGGTTGGAAATGGAGCGTTCCATAAGAGTGTTCTCCTGATAATGATATTTGGTCAATGTACAAGATGGTCAGTGTACAAGTTGGTCAGTTTACACATTGGTCAGTTTACACATTGGTCAGTGTACACAGTTAGTGTACACATTGGTCAGTGTACAAGTTCAATGACCTGCTGGCCTGACCCAGTTTAAAAGTGTGTACAAATAACAAAGCAAAATTATAAATGTGTACATCCAGCTGACTAAATGTGGATGTAGATGAAGTTTAAAGTTGTGTAAATGGATGGAATTTAAAATTGTGTACAGCTAATGAACAAAACATTGGAGTACAAGTTGGACAGAGCAAAGGTGTACAAACATAGACCAAACCTAACCTCTAACAAAGGAGACTTGACAAAAGTTCTGCCCCGAGATTTGAGCCCGCGTCTAGAACGCTGGGCACAGTGTCGTGAGGCGTGCTCCGAGTTAGTGTTCCATATGATGACCTCCCCATCGTACGAGCCAGTGGCCAGGGTTGTTGGCCCAGAGAAAGCGCAGCACAAAATGTCTTCTGCATGCTCCTATCAAAGGTGTACAAAAAGAAGAAATTAGATAAAAATCTCTATTCTAGACTAAAAGTTTGATTACCAATAAAACAAACTTTAATTTTCTGACAAATTAGTACTACAGAAATATCTTTAAGATGTGTGATAACCCATTTCTACAGAAAAATCTTGTTTAATTTTTAAAAATTTAGTAAAGGACAAAAAAAACTAACATTTTAATACTGGTCAACAAACAATTTTTGTAGTAACTAGTTGTTTTGACCAGTTAACCTACTGACCAGTTGACCTACTAACCTACTGACCAGTCAACCTACTGACCAGTTGACCTATGGCCAGTTGACCTACTGACCTGTCCACCTTTCCAATCAGCTGGCTGAACATGAAACTCTTTAAATGCACTGTTCCTAAATATAGCCAGTGTTCTGAAAATAAATATAAATTTAAATATAAGCCTACAACAATTAAATAATCAGCAAATAGATTTGCTCTACTCACACATAGCAACAACACTACCCACAATCCACCCATAGCAACAACACTAACCACAATCTACCCATAGCAACAATACTACCCACAATCCACCAATAGCAACAACAATTCTTACAATCCACCCATAGCAACACCACTACCCACAATCCACCCATAGCAACAACAATTCTTACAATCCACCCATAGCAACACCACTACCCACAATCCACCCATAGCAACACCACTACCCACAATCCACCCATAGCAACACCACTACCCACAATCCACCCATAGCTACACCACCCAGATAAAAACCTACTTAGCCCAGCCTACAGCCACTAGACTCCTGAAACCTACTTAGCCCAGCCTACAGACTCCTGAAACCTACTTAGCCCAGCCTACAGAAACTAGACTCCTGAAACCTACTTAGCCCAGCCTACAGCCACTAGACTCCTGAAACCTACTTAGCCCAGCCTACAGACACTAGACTCCTGAAACCTACTTAGCCCAGCCTACAGACTCCTGAAACCTACTTAGCCCAGCCTACAGCCACTAGACTCCTGAAACCTACTTAGCCCAGCCTACAGACTCCTGAAACCTACTTAGCCCAGCCTACAGCCACTAGACTCCTGAAACCTACTTAGCCCAGCCTACAGACTCCTGAAACCTACTTAGCCCAGCCTACAGACTCCTGAAACCTACTTAGCCCAGCCTACAGACTCCTGAAACCTACTTAGCCCAGCCTACGGCCACTAGACTCCTGAAACCTACTTAGCCCAGCCCACAGCCTACAGACTCCTGAAACCTACTTAGCCCAGCCTACAGCCACTAGACTCCTGAAACCTACTTAGCCCAGCCTACAGACTCCTGAAACCTACTTAGCCCAGCCTACAGACTCCTGAAACCTACTTAGCCCAGCCTACAACCACTAGACTCCTGAAACCTACTTAGCCCAGCCTACAGACTCCTGAAACCTACTTAGCCCAGCCTACGGCCACTAGACTCCTGAAACCTACTTAGCCCAGCCTACAGACTCCTGAAACCTACTTAGCCCAGCCTACGGCCACTAGACTCCTGAAACCTACTTAGCCCAGCCTACAGACTCCTGAAACCTACTTAGCCCAGCCTACAGACTCCTGAAACCTACTTAGCCCAGCCTACAGACTCCTGAAACCTACTTAGCCCAGCCTACAGCCACTAGACTCCTGAAACCTACTTAGCCCAGCCTACAGACTCCTGAAACCTACTTAGCCCAGCCTACAGACTCCTGAAGCCTACTTAGCCCAGCCTACGGCCAATAGACTCCTGAAACCTACTTAGCCCAGCCTACAGACTCCTGAAACCTACTTAGCCCAGCCTACAGACTCCTGAAACCTACTTAGCCCAGCCTACAGACTCCTGAAACCTACTTAGCCCAGCCTACAGACTCCTGAAACCTACTTAGCCCAGCCTACAGACTCCTGAAACCTACTTAGCCCAGCCTACGGCCACTAGACTCCTGAAACCTACTTAGCCCAGCCTACAGACTCCTGAAACCTACTTAGCCCAGCCTACAGACTCCTGAAACCTACTTAGCCCAGCCTACAGACTCCTGAAACCTACTTAGCCCAGCCTACAGACTCCTAAAACCTACTTAGCCCAGCCTACAGACTCCTGAAACCTACTTAGCCCAGCCTACAGCCACTAGACTCCTGAAACCTACTTAGCCCAGCCTACAGCCACTAGACTCCTGAAACCTACTTAGCCCAGCCTACAGACTCCTGAAACCTACTTAGCCCAGCCTACATACTCCTGAAACCTACTTAGCCCAGCCTACAGCCACTAGACTCCTGAAACCTACTTAGCCCAGCCTACAGACTCCTGAAACCTACTTAGCCCAGCCTACAGTCACTAGACTCCTGAAACCTACTTAGCCCAGCCTACAGACTCCTGAAACCTACTTAGCCCAGCCTACAGACTCCTGAAACCTACTTAGCCCAGCCTACGGCCACTAGACTCCTGAAACCTACTTAGCCCAGCCTACGGCCACTAGACTCCTGAAACCTACTTAGCCCAGCCTACAGACTCCTGAAACCTACTTAGCCCAGCCTACAGACTCCTGAAACCTACTTAGCACAGCCTACAGACTCCTGAAACCTACTTAGCCCAGCCTACAGACTCCTGAAACCTACTTAGCCCAGCCTACAGTCACTAGACTCCTGAAACCTACTTAGCCCAGCCTACAGACTCCTGAAACCTACTTAGCCCAGCCTACAGACTCCTGAAACCTACTTAGCCCAGCCTACAGACTCCTGAAACCTACTTAGCCCAGCCTACGGCCACTAGACTCCTGAAACCTACTTAGCCCAGCCTACAGACTCCTGAAACCTACTTAGCCCAGCCTACAGACTCCTGAAACCTACTTAGCCCAGCCTACAGACTCCTGAAACCTACTTAGCCCAGCCTACAGACTCCTGAAACCTACTTAGCCCAGCCTACAGACTCCTGAAACCTACTTAGCCCAGCCTACAGTCACTAGACTCCTGAAACCTACTTAGCCCAGCCTACAGACTCCTGAAACCTACTTAGCCCAGCCTACAGACTCCTGAAACCTACTTAGCCCAGCCACTAGACTCCTGAAACCTACTTAGCCCAGCCTACAGACTCCTGAAACCTACTTAGCCCAGCCTACAGACTCCTGAAACCTACTTAGCCCAGCCTACAGCCACTAGACTCCTGAAACTTACTTAGCCCAGCCTACAGACTCCTGAAACCTACTTAGCCCAGCCTACAGACTCCTGAAACCTACTTAGCCCAGCCTACAGAATCCTGAAACCTACTTAGCCCAGCCTACAGCCACTTGACTCCTGAAACCTACTTAGCCCAGCCTACAGACTCCTGAAACCTACTTAGCCCAGCCTACAGCCACTAGACTCCTGAAACCTACTTAGCCCAGCCTACAGACTCCTGAAACCTACTTAGCCCAGCCTACAGCCACTAGACTCCTGAAACCTACTTAGCCCAGCCTACAGACTCCTGAAACCTACTTAGCCCAGCCTACAGACTCCTGAAACCTACTTAGCCCAGCCTACAGACTCCTGAAACCTACTTAGCCCAGCCTACAGACTCCTGAAACCTACTTAGCCCAGCCTACAGCCACTTGACTCCTGAAACCTACTTAGCCCAGCCTACAGACTCCTGAAACCTACTTAGCCCAGCCTACAGCCACTAGACTCCTGAAACCTACTTAGCCCAGCCTACAGACTCCTGAAACCTACTTAGCACAGCCTACAGACTCCTGAAACCTACTTAGCCCAGCCTACAGACTCCTGAAACCTACTTAGCCCAGCCTACAGACTCCTGAAACCTACTTAGCCCAGCCTACAGCCACTAGACTCCTGAAACCTACTTAGCCCAGCCTATAGCCACTAGACTCCTGAAACCTACTTAGCCCAGCCTACAGACTCCTGAAACCTACTTAGCCCAGCCTACAGCCACTAGACTCCTGAAACCTACTTAGCCCAGCCTACAGACTCCTGAAACCTACTTAGCACAGCCTACAGACTCCTGAAACCTACTTAGCCCAGCCTACAGACTCCTGAAACCTACTTAGCCCAGCCTACAGACTCCTGAAACCTACTTAGCCCAGCCTACAGACTCCTGAAACCTACTTAGCCCAGCCTACAACCACTAGACTCCTGAAACCTACTTAGCCCAGCCTACAGACTCCTGAAACCTACTTAGCCCAGCCTACAGACTCCTGAAACCTACTTAGCCCAGCCTATAGCCACTAGACTCCTGAAACCTACTTAGCCCAGCCTACAGACTCCTGAAACCTACTTAGCCCAGCCTACAGCCACTAGACTCCTGAAACCTACTTAGCCCAGCCTACAGCCACTAGACTCCTGAAACCTACTTAGCCCAGCCTACAGACTCCTGAAACCTACTTAGCCCAGCCTACAGACTCCTGAAACCTACTTAGCCCAGCCTACAGACTCCTGAAACCTACTTAGCCCAGCCTACAGCCACTAGACTCCTGAAACCTACTTAGCCCAGCCTACAGACTCCTGAAACCTACTTAGCCCAGCCTACGGCCACTAGACTCCTGAAACCTACTTAGCCCAGCCTACAGACTCCTGAAACCTACTTAGCCCAGCCTACGGCCACTAGACTCCTGAAACCTACTTAGCCCAGCCTACAGTCTCCTGAAACCTACTTAGCCCAGCCTACAGACTCCTGAAACCTACTTAGCCCAGCCTACAACCACTAGACTCCTGAAACCTACTTAGCCCAGCCTACAGACTCCTGAAACCTACTTAGCCCAGCCTACGGCCACTAGACTCCTGAAACCTACTTAGCCCAGCCTACAGACTCCTGAAACCTACTTAGCCCAGCCTACGGCCACTAGACTCCTGAAACCTACTTAGCCCAGCCTACAGTCTCCTGAAACCTACTTAGCCCAGCCTACAGACTCCTGAAACCTACTTAGCCCAGCCTACAACCACTAGACTCCTGAAACCTACTTAGCCCAGCCTACAGACTCCTGAAACCTACTTAGCCCAGCCCACAGCCTACAGACTCCTGAAACCTACTTAGCCCAGCCTACAGCCACTAGACTCCTGAAACCTACTTAGCCCAGCCCACAGCCTACAGACTCCTGAAACCTACTTAGCCCAGCCTACAGACTCCTGAAACCTACTTAGCCCAGCCTACAGACTCCTGAAACCTACTTAGCCCAGCCTACAGACTCCTGAAACCTACTTAGCCCAGCCTACAGACTCCTGAAACCTACTTAGCCCAGCCTACGGCCACTAGACTCCTGAAACCTACTTAGCCCAGCCTACAGACTCCTGAAACCTACTTAGCCCAGCCTACGGCCACTAGACTCCTGAAACCTACTTAGCCCAGCCTACAGTCTCCTGAAACCTACTTAGCCCAGCCTATAGACTCCTGAAACCTACTTAGCCCAGCCTAC